GTCACATCAGTTTACTCTTTATTTCACCAATAATAAGACATGATATTACTTTAAAATAGATATGAAAGTGATACAAAGGAGTAATGTTACTCATAGAGTAACACTGAGTCAGACTTTTTCACTGTGTGTGCGTAAATATTCACTGACCCACAAAAAAACCCTGTAGCTTCAAGAGAGAGAATCTAAGAGCAGATTTCTCATGAGGCTATATGTCTTACAGGCATTGTAACAGCTACAGGAGCCTCAAGGGCCAGGAATTCATGTGTTTTCACCAACTTAGTTTACATTCATCAGAAGGTGGTACTACTTTGTACCTCATGAACTGGTTGAGTAGCGATGTGTTTCTTATGTATAACGGCATATTTAACTTTCAATTAAACCCTCAGAAAAATCTCAAAAATGTCCAAAGTTGACTTGGTATAAAATACATATATATAATGATCTAAGTACATGAATAAAGTACACAGAGCAACATCTGATGAATTTAAAGCTACTGATTTTAAGACGGACATGCTAGTGAATGTGGAAAATTTCTTTGAGAAACCAAGAAATCTCAAGTGGTATAATTGAAGAAGTACTGTTATTTTTTATAACACAAACAAGCTGCATCTTTAAATAGCCAAACACAAGTGATTAGCGATGTGAACACTTTACCTGAAGAAGTTTGAATCCATTTTCTGAAGTTCTAAACATTATCTATTAAATTGTCAGCTAGCTTTTTCATTCTTTATCGCAATATTTCAAGTTTTTATACAGAACATTCATCACCCAGTTCTGTCAAGTGTGCACTTATACACAAAATAAAATTTGATATGTTGATCTCTAGCAAGGAAGATGTATCATCATGGGGATGATGAAAAATACACAAAAATGATTTCCTATTCCTTGTCAATGTGACAGATACTTCAAACATCAACACATTTTTGTAGAGAGAACCAATGGATCTTGTTTTAAACATAACAGCTATACATGTACCACTCAGGATAATGATAATGTTCACAATGTGCTGAAACATTTAGTATTTGTACCCATGATCTAGCCTGGAAAACACACCAAGATAATGATGTAACCCATGTAAACACATGTATCTCTATAGACACATGCATCTCTTTAGACACCTGAATCTCTTAAGACACCTGTATCTCTGTAGACACCTGTATGTTTGTAGATGCCTGTTTCTTTGTACAGTTGTCATACAATGCTACACCATATGCGATGTCGGAACAATGTCTTCACAATAAGAAAAGTGGATGAAATAAGCTATCACACAGACGTGTGCACGTTAAGCAGTTCTATCACACAAATCTGAGATTTTATCCTGGTTGATATAAACTTAGCAATGATTTATAGATGTGTGGGATAAGGTTTATTTATTCAACTAAGCATACTTTCTAATAAAGACATAGATTTATAGGTTGAACACATGAAGATCTAACACATACAGACTGAATAACTATACAGTCAAACTTCGGTATTTCGAACTTCAATATTTAGAATTTCTCGGTATTTCGAACTTTTTAAAGAGTCCTGAATTTTTTTACTATATAACTATAGTAATTTTACCATACTTATTTTGAACTTTTACATATCAAATTTCTCGCTATTTCGAACTTTTTTCTAGTCCGATTGCAATAAAAACATAGGAACATACACGTTTTATTTCCAAGTTTTGAAAATTTACCTGTACGAAAACTGACATGTAACACTTCGGCAGTTTTCACACCTTCAGAACATGCCGCGCTACCGGCGTGTATGCTCTGAGTCGGGCAACGTTGTTTACAAGAGTGATTAATTAAAAAAACATAACACGGACCAATCTGTGATGTTTACTTCAGTTTGGACATTGTACAAGATTTCTTATATCAGCATGGAGTCGGTAACGACACCGACAGTGTTAGTGTGAAACTCGGTGATATTAGTGCTACTTTAGAAAAACATTTTGTGCGTGGGGTTGACAGAAGACAAACAACGATGCAAGACTTCTTCATAACACAACTCGAGAAAAGTAGTTATTTAAAACAGACTTCAGCGCTTCGATTCAATCATTTAAATGGTTAACGATATTGCTGGAATACAGTAATCATTATTACCCAAGCTTGTGTCGTTTCGTTATAAAACGGTAAATCCGTAAAATGTAAAAACGTGTTGCAGTTAACCTCATGTAGAGACACCGTGTGAGATTTAAAACATCTAATCGTATGTATTGTTTAATTGTTTGTTGCTATTACTTAATAAATATTTACACTGTATATCTGTCTTTATTCAGTTTGTCAAGGTAGTTAAACCAATCGTTCAAATGAAAGGAGTGTTATCTTCATGATCAGCCGTAATCCTGTTACGTCTGACCACGAAGGTAATAGACGTCCACCCACTGCAGCTTCTCGGACCATGGAAATAAATGAATGGGATGAAGAATAAATATCGCAACTAAAAAGGGATCATATCAAACAATATATTGTAGAGAAATATATGATCGGTACACTTAATAATAATTCAAATACATACATCTCAAAAATCGGTGAAGGACATGGATTTTATACATGTATATGTAATGCGTAATGCACATATACATCCGAGTAAAATTTTCATTCTATGAAATTTAAATCAATATTCACATATCGAAGTCCCGCTATATCGAATTTTTTGACTTGGTCCCTTGAAGTTTGAAATACCGAAGTTTGACTGTATATACAGTCTAACCTGTCATGACGGCCACCTTGGTTAGACGGCCACCTTAGTTAGACGGCCACCTGCTTGTAACGGTCCTTTTCAGACCCTCCCAATCGTTTTTACTCATTAATGATACCTAATTTAACAGCCACCTGTCTAACGTGGCCAGCGTCCACCCTTTTCGTCCCCAAACTCGCGATCGAACCTTGTTTAAAAAGCCATTTTGACTACAAGTCATTTGACAAGCTTTCTTGACTGTGAGTCACGTTTTCTCGCCACATGAACATTCTTACAAACGTGTACATGCCTTCCTTTCAATTTTGTTCTTGTGTACTTATAGTTGTGTCATAAAACAAAGATTGGTCTGTCTTCAAATTACTTGTTAACAAGATAATAAATAATAACAGATGATGTTTTATATCCTATTATTAAACGGTATTCAAATATCAATGTGCAAATTGCCGCAACTTGGGTTTGAAAATAAGGAACCTCAATTAAGAGGCCACCTCTCTATAAAGGCCACTTTCATAATTTCCCAACAGTGGCCGTTTAATATAGGTTAGACTACTTGTAATTTAGAATGTCTTGTTTACAAAGTGTTATACATGACCAGCCGTAGTGTAAAGACATTCATTACATATACATTATATATGTTAACATTAAATGAACACCACATTTTGTCTAGGCAATGAATCATCTAACATCTCATACAATCTCATACCACCAGAAAGGAAATTTTACCTGGGTTTTTCACTGGTGAAAAGACCTATTGTTATTGTTAAGTTTCTAAGTGTTCTTATTATTTTTCTTCTGAAATTTGTGGACTCCAGTTCTTTTAATTGGTAGGAGAGTCTATTTAGTACTTTGAAGGGATGTGCCTAAAATAGTATATGTAACATTTTAAAGTAAGTCATACATCCAATATGGTGGTCATGATGCCATATGTTAAAACTATAAATTAGCCATGTTTCATAAATCGTTGATTGGATAGAGTTTTTGCAATTACTGTATTTTCCAGGTTATAAGCTGCACTGGTATAAAAGCCATAGGGCCAGTTTTTAGCGATTTTGATCCACATTTAAACTGCACTGGAATATAAGCTGCACCCTTTCTTATGATCAGTATTGTTGATGTTTGATATCCCAGTAACTGATAACAGAAGGCAATTTATCAAGATCATCATTATAACATTGAAGAAAGTTTACTGATGAATTTTTCACAAAAAATCCTAATTTTATGGATGTTTTTAAATTATGCTGGGCATTTAAAATACATAAAATATTGAACTTGTTTGAGGCCTCCAATGATTGCCAACCCACAGGTAGGGCCAAACTTACGGACAATATTACAACCTCTCCAACAGTGTCTGTTTTGTCAAATGTTACTTTTGTCTATAACATGTTGATAAAGTTCCAATAATCCTGTAAAATGTTTATGTAAGCTGCATCAAAGCTGCAAACATTGTAAACAAATATTGCGGCTGTCCTGGAATTTGACCTCTTCACCTCATGACCTAGTGATGAATTTTTTGTAATATTGTGTTGAGATATATGTTTAGCAACATGTCCTTCTCTCATTTTCCCTTGATCTTTTGGCAAAACTATAAACATATCATTGCTTATATTTGGTTTGTTAAGGGAAAGGTTTCTCAACACGTTCTCTACCATTGTGTGAATTTTTCACCGTCACTGGAAAAACAAAATTTTATAGCTAATTGCAATTTCTCATTAATAGCTAAATGTATTGAATTCATCTTTGGATATGTTATGTAAGATAAATAGACATTTCTGAGGAAACCTTTTTATTTTAAAATCTCAACTTCCAGTTTTTGGTAGGGGTCAAAGTTTAAATTGGAAATTTTATGAAACCAATTTTTTAAAAATTCTCTAAATCTACAATGCCTTGAGGCTTGATATTCAAAAATGAAGTTTTCTGTTTAATTTTCAGTCTGTGATATTTGCAAGCCATTTTTTACCAAGCTACACAGAAGTTGGCTCATTCATAATGACACTTTTGTGTTTTGATTGTGACACATGATTATGTGCTTACTAGTCTGACGCTCAACCAATGCTAAAGAGAAGTTCTTTAGCCGAGTGGTATATTGGCACATTCATAATGACACTTTTGTGCTGTGATTGTGACATCTGTATGGATATCTATGTAAGAGAGGTCATTATTCATTTTAATGCCTCTGCTTGATTATGTATCAACCAATCCAGTTCTCTTCCGAGTGGTATATTCAATTTACAAGGGTTACATCTATACCTACAGACCTACCTGTGCCATGAGAGGCAGTCATTTACTGACAGAGAATCAATGATTACACTTACCTGTGCCATGAGAGAAGCCAGCTCCAATGCCAAGTCTTTATTGAGAGGAAATCGGCCGTGGATAATCTCATCATTCACCTGATACGTCAGAAGTAATTTCTCTTTTTCCGTTTCTGCAGAACTGGACGACTTGAAATACAACCTGAAAAAACAACAAATAAATCAGGTTGTGGCATCAGATATCACAAATAAATCAGGTTGTGGCATCAGATATCACAAATAAATCAGGTTGTGGCAACAGGTATCACAAATAATTCAGGTTGTAGCTATATAATCAAGTTGTGGCAACATATATCACAAATAAATCAGGTTGTGGCAACAGGTATCACAAATAAATCAGGTTGTGGCAACAGGTATCACAAATAATTCAGGTTGTAGCTATATAATCAAGTTGTGGCAACATATATCACAAATAAATCAGGTTGTGGCAACAGATATCACAAATAAATCAGGTTGTGGCAACAGGTATAACAAATAATTCAGGTTGTGGCTGTATAATCAGGTTGTGGCAACAGATATCACAAATAAATCAGGTTGTGGCATCAGATATCACAAATTAATCAGGTTGTGGCATCAGATATTACAAATAAATCAGGTTGTGACATCAGATATCACAAATAAATCAGGTTGTGGCATCAGATATCACAAATTAATCAGGTTGTGGCATCAGATATCACAAATAAATCAGGTTGTGGCATCAGATATCACAAATAAATCAGGTTGTGGCATCAGATATCGAACATGAAGAAGTGTTGTTAAACCTGTCTCTAGGAAATTGTTATATCAAGTGACTTTACTCAAAACTTAGCCTGAGGTAACTACTGTCACAGAATTACACAGGTCACTAAACTATATCTCTTCAGTCCCATTACCGATAATGTACTATCCCATAATAAGCCCACCCAAGTTTACAAGAGTATACTCTATGGGCTTATTACAGGATGTGAACATTACCGTATTTGACACATTAAGCATCTCTGTTCCTGTATAACAAAACATCCTGAACATTTTGCTATTCACCAGTGTGCACATTCGATATGGTTTTTTCAGTCAGCCATTTGATAAGCAACTTTCTGCTCCTGCCTCCTCCCCAACAACTGAAAAGTGCTGATAATCATTATTGAAAATTACATAAACAGCTTTACAACCATGATTATGAAACAGTTCTCATCTCTTCAAAACAGTCATATCTTATTAAGTGCCCTGCCAAGCTTTTAAAAAATTTCTAGTGTAATCAGTGCTTGATAGGTATAATATGGTAATTATATCTAATATATTATTATTGTTATGGTTCCTACCAATGTGACTTCTCAATCTATTTTTTTTGTTACAGATTTCATTCTCAAAGTGACAGGAATTAAACCAGACAGTCATTTCATATGTTTGATGATAAAGCAAATTTGCTATAGATCAAAATATTGTAAGCTGACTGGAAACACCCAAAACACCAAATTGATAAACTGGCAGTCAAGTAAAGAAGGCGTAGTGGGTACAAACCTTCCATATTTCAAAAATATTTTTAAACGAAAGACATACAGAGCGCTTATGTACAAACTGTCATGGCTTCTAGCATGCTAGCTGAACTGGAAATAAGAATATTATCTCTTATCATTCTGCAGCTTGAAACTAGGCTAAAAATGATTCAACTGAGTCATACACAAATCTAAAGAGAAAGCTGTATCACCATTATATAGTAGTGCAAGCTAAATCTGCACCTATCAATATCACACATTTCTTCGATAACAAGTGAACTATAATCACATTTTTTCATCTCTTTAAATTCTGATTTTGTTATACTGCAAATCTAAAAGAAATAATCAAATAAAATATAGTATTAGGGTTCTGTAGTCTGGAGACATGGTTTTACATCAGCACTGTTGTAATGTTCAGTTGTGCCAACCATTCGGTCTAATATAATAATGTATCTGTATAGATCCAATCTGATAATGCGAGGGTTTTAGTGGTGTATTGAGAAAACGTCTCAGAATAACGTGTAGGGTTTCCTTAAATAAACTTAGAAATCTGAATCATATGACAAACACTTCCCCGGAAAGGAGATCGGCATTAGAAATCTGATAAATACATCAACACAAGCAATATCAACATGGAATTTCCTATTGGAAATTCAAACAGGTTTCTTTAGCACACTGAAGTATGTTATTCAATTTTTTCTCCATTAAGTCTTTTCTAAGCATGCAGATATGATTGCCTAATAGTTGTGAGACTTGAGACGCTAACAGACAAATAATGAACTGAGCTACAGTAACACTTTCCATACACAGTACTCAGATCTAAACACCATATACAGGTTTAAGGTAAGCTTGCCTTTCTTCAATTTCTTCAATTTTTTAGAATTGATCATTTCTAGGAGGCATGTATTTGGTTGAATTTCTTTGTAAACTTTTTCTGTCAAAATAAAGTCAAACCTCGTTAGTCAATTTAAGCAAGTTTGAACGTTTATTGTGAAATTTGGCCAGAAAAGACAGTATACTTCAAATTAAACGGGGTCTTCGAGTTATATAAGTTTGAAATAATGAGGTTCAAAAGTTGTGGAAACAATGCTGAATCATAAGGTAATGAACTGTTAGCTGATATAAAACAACCTTCAGCTGATATATCTTTAAATTGAAAAGTTAAATTGGAGGTAATTATAAGATAAATTACAGCTGCTAATGGTGATATCCTCACAAAACAAGGTATATGTTCTCTGGTGGGAGCTGCCATAGATTATACATATACATAATCACACAACTTCCTGATGCTTAGTTTAACTTAAGAGAGGTCCAATAAAATTGTGAAGAATTGATACCTTGAGAATAGAATGAAATGACAAAACCACATAACTTTTTAGGGCTTTGGTCCAAAGCACCTTCAGTTAGCTTTAAGCACTTTTGGGAAGACTAAAAAATACATTTAAACCTACAAATTATGGTATGATGTGATGAATCTTACAAATGATGATAGTCGACCATTCAGAGCTTATATAATTATGAAAATGTCAAAGCCTAAAAAGATCATAGTATTTGCCAACTAATATTACATATATATATTCATAATTACATCTTCCTGGTACAAGGTACAAACATTTGAGGGCAAAGTGAACAAAAAGTCATGCTGTGTTGAAGTAAATCCAAAGTTTAATTCAATTATTAATTGGCTGATTGGTTACACAGGCTTTTTACCTCCTTTACTGTGTTGTCTCGCAGACAATAGATGATATAATGTTGGTGTGGTGTTATATAGACAACGTTCTGTTGATGTGTATAGTATTATTACATAGACAATTTTTCTGTACAGTTTTAATATTATAACAATACACATTTTACCACAGTAAACTTTAACTCTGGTACCAAGAAAATTACTTGTATAGCCAAATCTTTTTTCAACTTTTAAAACATTTTCTTTTGAAAGTAAGAGACAAAATACCAAGAAAAAGAACCAAATGAAAGTATAAATAGTCCATCCTTACATCAAAAGCCTTTCAGAAACCATTCACACGATTTGCCTTGGTCATGGTATTCCAACAGTTATGAAACCTCACAAGACTAACTGAGATGTTCTGGATAAAACACCCAAAGAGAACTGTGATGCATCACATATCAAAGAAATGGGCAGCAGATTTGTGATAAGACTTCAAGAACACCAGAAAGATGTGGAATCCAAAGAAGGCAAAAAACTTGCCCAGATCAGTAATTAGTAAACATCTGATTTTTCTATAATCTTTTTACCATCTCGTCAAACTATTTTCTACCTTAGTGATCATAGGATTATAGGACAGCTAAAATAATTGGTTGATTCCTTCTCCTACACTATGTACATCAGTGCTAGTATACCCTTCGCACCGGTCATTTGTCCAATGAAAGTGACCATGTAGTCAATGTAATGTCACACTCTAATATTCTACTGATCACGGCATAACAACTTCTATTCTACCAATGTATATCTTGGCAACTACACTCAGTTTCAATGAATGAAAATAAATATTTTGGTATCATCAAATTCAGCCATGAGAAAATCAAATAAAAGTAGGATGCATCATAGCAATGTTTACACCAAGTCTATATATCTATATATAGAAAAAACTTGATTTGACGAAATGCGAGTAAATTATAAATAAAAATGATTTTTGACAAAAGAAGAAAGACGTTACATTTTGCACTAGTGCTTTCACTGTATTAGATCTTCAGGTCTTTCTTCTTTTGTCAAAAATCATTTTTATCTATATATATATATATATATATATAAAATTCAGTCCAGGTTTTTGAATTTCCAAACCCTAGACTTCTGAAAGCTCTGCTCAGAAGCCTGTGGTACCTGACAGCCACACCTTTGTGCCTGTAATATGCTTTCCATCCAAATATTGATGATACATTTAAAGATGAATTTGCTGTAAATAAAACTGTTCTGTACAATTGATATCCATCTTCATCACCTTGTTGATTGCCAATCTATTTGCTAAATATAAAAATCTATTGAGCCCTTAGGATATTAAATACAACCATCAAATGTTACCAATTTGTATACATCCATATCATTTATGACAGTGATGACCATGCTACAACGGAAAAGCTGTTTATAGATGTGGATTTCTACATTCCAACAATCAATCCATGTTTTAGAAATTTGCCGTAATGTCAGTCAACTTCAGTGATGGCCAATTAGTAGCTGACAGAATGAAATTAAAGATAACAGACTGTCTTGTAAAAAATCAGCATTCGCTGCATATGGAAGAATATGAGCAGTGTTTTGACGGGGACTTTCTGACAAGGAAGTAACATAGGAAGCTGTGCTGTTCACTGATGATGCTTAAATCTGCACTGATGACAGAACTCCATAGTTATTGGCTGGCTTGTTGGGACTATCAAATTCACATCATATAAAGCATTACAAAACCTACACATAAACACACTGGATAAATTCAGAATCAAACAATATTCCGGAGGTACATGTTGTAAAAACATACTGACAGAACTTTTAAAGACGTAGAGATGATATAATAATGCAAATATAAAATTGATTAAGAAAAAAAAATCTTTGATTGTCAGGCACTTAATAAGATGATCTCCTGGGAGAGGAAATAGAAAATCCCTTCAACAGGAAATATTTGATCAGATGATACTCATCAGTTATGAATATAGAAATTTTATATCAGATATGTATATATATATGTTAAAACCATTTTCCTGATGACTGAATTGTATTATTACAACCAAATGATGTTTGCTGATTTTCTTCCTTCAGATATTTTCAGATCACTGTATCACATGTGTTTCAGAGCCTGAGTGGTTAAGATTAAGTTTAAGGTTCAGGAGTCAGTGTGTAACACTCCTTCATCCAAAAATGTATCTGCATACAAAATATGTCCAACTCTAAACCTGAGTTTACCCGAAAGGTGATGTTGATGAAGAATTATTGCTTACATGTTAAAAGGCATTAGAACTGAAACTGTGAACTAAGAAAAATGTTTGTGTTGCATGATGGGATGGTCAGCCTCTAACTGAGATTCTTATCTGTTATATCCTCCTGTTGTGTACAGTCTCTTCATTTGATACAAATCAGCTTTGATTTGCTATATCTGAAATCTATAGATATAGAATTTTGTTGAAATTGACATGCAAGTTATCCTTCACTCATTTGTTTCATTTTGATCATCCTCGTTCATAAGGTTAATCTAATTTTCCAATTAACTATGTAATAAATGTGACCTTGATGCCAAACCCTTTGACCTTGACTTTTGAACAGGTACTTTTTTTATATGTTTTGATCAATTTTGCTTCATAGTGTTAAATCACAGATATGTCTACCTGTAAAATATCCAAGTTTGACTTTGATGTTTGAAGTTATTACTTTGACCTTAAGTCAGATAATTTTGATTCTGATCAACATTGCTCTTTAATGTCATATTAAATTACTAACCTGTAAAATACCATGAATTTGACCTTGATCTTTGACTTGGTGACCTTGACTTGAAGTCGAATGACTTTTCATTATTTCTGGTCAACTTTGCTTCATAATGACACAACAAAAATTTTACCAGTGAAGTCAGTAAAAGTTGACCTAATTAAAGCTTTGATGTCTTGACCTTGACCTGTACTTGGGCAAATTCTCATTTGATTTCAGTCAAGTTTGCTTCATACTGCCATAAGAGGATATTTACCTTTAACATTGATATATGTATTTACATGTATATGATACACTTTCTAATGTATATTCATATTTCTGTTTAATCCATGACCTCCACCTATAACCTCTGAACATAACAGCAATATCCAACACAAACGCTTTCAGTCAAGAAACTGTAGATAAGTCTGAATCAGCCAAACAGATGTGGAAATAATGTATCATGATTTTCTGTTTAAAGTAACGGTGAATTTGACCTTTGACCTCTGCACCTGACATGAGATCCTTAAGCCAACACTTTCTTTGAGGAAGCACTGGATGATATTTGAGTGCATTTGGCCAACCAGAACAGGAGATATTGTTAAGAAACAAAAATAAACTGGATGTACAGACACACAACCTGATTACTGCAGGACACCTGCATCTTTGATGTGGGGCCCTTATAAAAACAAATTAAGATATTTTTAAGGTTCTAGCAAAATGATAATTAATGCAACTGAATCACAGTGACCTACTTTTGGTATCTGGCATTATGACATTAGATGTTTGGAGAGAATAAGGATAACAGACAAATGGAATAGATACGGAAGTGAAGACAGAAGCCCAGTAGTATCAATGAAAAATTAACCATTATGTCAAACCAAAGTTGACAAATGTTTTCTTTTTTGCCATTTAATATTCTGAAAGAAACATTTCTATTTCATTTTCTACTTTCCTGGTTCCTTTCAATATTTCTATGGGGAAAAGCAGTATATCAAGGTTTTTCTGTTAACTTATACACAATAGCAGTACATCAAGGTTTTTCTGTTAACTTATACACAATAGCAGTACATCAAGGTTTTTCTGTTAACTTATACACAATAGTAGTATACCAAGGTTTTTCTGCTAATGCACAATAGCTGTATAATTATCAAGGTTACTACATTAGCAGAATTTCAAGGTTTTTTTTACTATCTTCCATACAACAGCAGTACAAATATTTCAAGTTTTTTTCTACTTATTCAAGAATTTCTGCTAACTAACACACAATAGCAGTACATCAAAGTCTGTCTGCTAAAAAATCTATTACAGAGCAGTAAATCAAGGTTTTACTGCTATTTTATAGACAATTAAACTACTATTATATTAAAATCCTGTTAACTACCTACATTACTAATATAACATATATCTTAGCTAAATAGTCTACAACAGCAGTATTCACTTTTGCAGATTACTAAGTTTTACTGATGCTTTTTATAAAGATATAATGCTGAAAAATCAATAGATGGTTTTACTTAACAACCAGCAGCCATTATGACAAGCTTTATTTTACAAAACATGGCAATACAAAGAGATTACATAGCTTTTCTTGAGGTTCTGTGCGGCCAAATAAGAACCTCATCCTGATTGGATGTATTCCATAATATGGCCAAAGTCCCAAAATATATAGTTTATTCCGAAACATCTCTCAACTGATCATTTTTATTCATAAAATGAGATAAAAAAGTATTCCCAAATGAGTGGAAAAAACCCTGGATTATATGAAACAATTTGTGGCAATATCGACTTAATATTTTGATAGAGAAATGTTAGTAATCAAGACATTTCATATGATATGGTTCAACAAATAATGTAATTTTTATAGCCTTTAATGCATATGTTGTATCCATTATGACATTGATTTTCGATAGACAAAAAGAATTGCTGTAAATTAATCTCTTTGTAAGAAAAAGCATAAGCAAACAACATCACACTGTGGCCAAAAAAATAAACTTGAATCAAGAAAGTATTTGCATGACAGATGAACGAACAGATGTCTCCGTCCTGTTGCAGGCATGCAGATAAAATTAGAGAGAATTAAACACGAAAGCAGAAAAAATGAAAAAACACGCGAATGATCTTTTCACAGTGCTATTTCACAGTCATGGAATTACAAACACGGGCCTGGGGTCGTTGCTGGTAAACAAAATCCATGTGCAGCCACATAACGGTAGTCAGATTGCCCTGCATAACGCTTGAAACCAGCACCAGTTCTATCAATAACACACATTTCTTGTTAGACTATAAAAGTCACATATTATATAACACACCAGGCCTGATAATATCACTGTATAACATCAATCTTTTATAATGCAGCAGTGGGCAAAGGGAAGTTACTCTCATCTAAAAGCCAGAATGTGTTCCCAAGCACCTGTCTGTTAGTGTCCAGCTGTTAGGACAATATTTACAAGTGTTTTCTGTTCTTTGGGTAGAGAATTACACCATGAAACTGTAAGGTAAATTTGCCTTAACTCACCTGTTTTTGTAGAGAAGTCGAATGGTACGCCCATTGTCTTGTTTCCCTGAGATAAATTCCTTGTGGCTTTGTTCCCATTTTGATATAACATCACAGATCTGAAAGGAATTATAGAAATATTTCTGCATCAAAATAAAGGAATTTTTCATTTGCCTAAATAATATAAGGTTTATCCATTTGTTTGCATTTCTTGGGGAACTTGTGCAAGAGAGGTAACTCTTAAGGACATTAATATTTGCAGCATCAGAAAGGCTAATAATATATCCCAATTCCATGTAGTACAGTCTGAAGGAAACATGTTAAAACAAAATCAAGGTACTATCATTCACCTTGATGGAGAGCTGGAGACAGTGTTTTTGTAAAAGCAGGTCACTGTCTCTTAACTGACCTAGATAGAGGTCTGAAGAAAGAGTTACCATATAAATGAAGTCAAGGTCACATCAGTGACCATAATTGGGGACTGGTGAGAATTTTTATAAATAAAGTGAAGGTTACAACACTGACCTTGATGGAGGATTGGAGACAGTGTTCTGTGTCAGAGCTGCAGGGGTCGTCTGTACACAAGGAGAATCCGGACTGACACACATCTCGTACACTGATGGCTTTGCTTAGGGTCAGCAGAAACTCTTGGACTGTAGTTGACCCATCAAAGCTGACCACCTATGTAAAACAGAGAGTGAATATTCTTTAGCAGTTAATTCTATGAAGTCTGATTGCTCCGATATATTTTCAATAGTTAATCCATCCTTCAGTATATTGATGTAAATGTAAGAGAAAATCACATATGATCATTAACCTGACACATGATTGGAAAATACCTGTTATTACACAATTCTGGATGAACAGAATATGTATTTCAGTTGGTCATGGAAAAACACTATAAAGTTGTACTATCCTGCTGCATTTGATCAATATTTTAAGCCAAGAGATTTTATTGTTAGTGTTGTCATGGACTACACAGGAGACTGTTCACCCAGTAAATAAATGTTCAATATCTTCTGTCCATTTCATATATATAACACACTTCATTTTTACATACAATCAGATCAGGAGGAACAAGTGGTCCTTAATAACACAGTATGAGGTCATTGTTTGGTTGCATGAACCTCATTCTTACCTGGTATGTGTTGTGGAGGAAGTGAACAGGAATACTGATTGGTTGAGAGTGATGGAAGGGGTGTCGGAGCAGGATGGACATCACTTCCATACGTGATGGACGTACCTCACGAACACCCTTCACAACTGTCCGCTCTAATGCTCGCTGACAGAATATTGCATATTTCCCAATTTCTGACCTGTTCACATAAAGAAGCATTGTTTTTATTACCAAGTGGATTTATAACATAAACATATACAGGAAAGATTTATTTTGACAAAGAAATCCATTTCACAATCGAAGATGAGCTCAACAGTATATGTATCAATTGAACATACCCAGATTTCAATGGTTTCTGTTTTGACAAAAAAAATAAAAAAGCAATCATAGAGTAGGATAAGAGTGTACTCAATAGCAGAAGGGAGTAAAGTAGATGTACTGTTTTTTTTATATGGGGTGGGGAGGGAGTATATAAAAGATACTAACTTTTCATCTGAGGAACAGAAGGCAGGGAGGGAGTACACTAGAGGAGGCAGGGAGGGAGTAAAGAAGATGTAACTCTGATTTGAGGTAGGGTAGGCAGGGAGGGAGTAAAGAAGATGTAACTCTGATTTGAGGTAGGGTAGGCAGGGAGGGAGTAAAGAAGATGTAACTCTGATTTGAGGTAGGGTAGGCAGGGAGGGAGTAAAGAAGATGTAACTCTGATTTGAGGTAGGGTAGGCAGGGAGGGAGTAAAGAAGATGTAACTCTGATTTGAGGTAGGGTAGGCAGGGAGGGAGTAAAGAAGATGTAACTCTGATTTGAGGTAGGGTAGGCAGGGAGGGAGTAAAGAAGATGTAACTCTGATTTGAGGTAGGGTAGGCAGGGAGGGAGTAAAGAAGATGTAACTCTGATTTGAGGTAAGGTAGGCAGGGAGGGAGTAAAGAAGATGTAACTCTGATTTGAGGTAAGGTAGGCAGGGAGGGAGTAAAGAAGATGTAACTCTGATTTGAGGTAAGGTAGGCAGGGAGGGAGTAAAGAAGATGTAACTCTGATTTGAGGTAGGGTAGGCAGGGAGGGAGTAAAGAAGATGTAACGCTGATTTGAGGTAGGGTAGGCAGTGAGGGAGTAAAGAAGATGTAACTCTGATTTGAGGTAGGGTAGGCAGGGAGGGAGGGAGTAAAGAAGATGTAACTCTGATTTGAGGTAGGGTAGGCAGGGAGGGAGTAAAGAAGATGTAACTCTGATTTGAGGTAGGGTAGGCAGGGAGGGAGTAAAGAAGATGTAACTCTGATTTGAGGTAAGGTAGGCAGGGAGGGAGTAAAGAAGATGTAACTCTGATTTGAGGTAAGGTAGGCAGGGAGGGAGTAAAGAAGATGTAACTCTGATTTGAGGTAGGGTAGGCAGGGAGGGAGTAAAGAAGATGTAACTCTGATTTGAGGTAAGGTAGGCAGGGAGGGAGTAAAGAAGATGTAACTCTGATTTGAGGTAAGGTAGGCAGGGAGGGAGTAAAGAAGATGTAACTCTGATTTGAGGTAAGGTAGGCAGGGAGGGAGTAAAGAAGATGTAACTCTGATTTGAGGTAAGGTAGGCAGGGAGGGAGTAAAGAAGATGTAACTCTGATTTGAGGTAAGGTAGGCAGGGAGGGAGTAAAGAAGATGTAACTCTGATTTGAGGTAAGGTAGGCAGGGAGGGAGTAAAGAAGATGTAACTCTGATTTGAGGTAGGGTAGGCAGGGAGGGAGTAAAGAAGATGTAACTCTGATTTGAGGTAAGGTAGGCAGGGAGGGAGTAAAGAAGATGTAACTCTGATTTGAGGTAAGGTAGGCAGGGAGGGAGTAAAGAAGATGTAACTCTGATTTGAGGTAAGGTAGGCAGGGAGGGAGTAAAGAAGATGTAACTCTGATTTGAGGTAAGGTAGGCAGGGAGGGAGTAAAGAAGATGTAACTCTGATTTGAGGTAGGGTAGGCAGGGAGGGAGTAAAGAAGATGTAATCTGATTTGAGGTAGGGTAGGCAGGGAGGGAGTAAAGAAGATGTAACTCTGATTTGAGGTAAGGTAGGCAGGGAGGAGTAAAGAAGATGTAACTCTGATTTGAGGTAAGGTAGGCAGGGAGGGAGTACAGAAGATGTAACTCTGATTTGAGGTAAGGTAGGCAGGGAGGGAGTAAAGAAGATGTAACTCTGATTTGAGGTAAGGTAGGCAGGGAGGGAGTAAAGAAGATGTAACTCTGATTTGAGGTAGGGTAGGCAGGGAGGGAGTAAAGAAGATGTAACGCTGATTTGAGGTAGGGTAGGCAGGGAGGGAGTAAAGAAGATGTAACTCTGATTTGAGGTAGGGTAGGCAGGGAGGGAGGGAGTAAAGAAGATGTAACTCTGATTTGAGGTAGGGTAGGCAGGGAGGGAGTAAAGAAGATGTAACTCTGATTTGAGGTAGGGTAGGCAGGGAGGGAGTAAAGAAGATGTAACTCTGATTTGAGGTAGGGTAGGCAGGGAGGGAGTAAAGAAGATGTAACTCTGATTTGAGGTAGGGTAGGCAGGGAGGGAGTAAAGAAGATTTAACTCTGATTTGAGGTAGGGTAGGCAGGGAGGGAGTAAAGAAGATGTAACTCTGATTTGAGGTAGGGTAGGCAGGGAGGGAGTAAAGAAGATGTAACTCTGATTTGAGGTAGGGTAGGCAGGGAGGGAGTAAAGAAGATGTAACTCTGATTTGAGGTAGGGTAGGCAGGGAGGGAGTAAAGAAGATGTAACTCTGATTTGAGGTAGGGTAGGCAGGGAGGGAGTAAAGAAGATGTAACTCTGATTTGAGGTAGGGTAGGCAGGGAGGGAGTAAAGAAGATGTAACTCTGATTTGAGGTAGGGTAGGCAGGGAGGGAGTAAAGAAGATGTAACTCTGATTTGAGGTAGGGTAGGCAGGGAGGGAGTAAAGAAGATGTAACTCTGATTTGAGGTAGGGTAGGCAGGGAGGGAGTAAAGAAGATGTAACTCTGATTTGAGGTAGGGTAGGCAGGGAGGGAGTAAAGAAGATGTAACTCTGATTTGAGGTAAGGTAGGCAGGGAGGGAGAAAAGAAGATGTAACTCTGATTTGAGGTAGGGTAGGCAGGGAGGGAGTAAAGATGTAACTCTGATTTAAGGTTGGGTAGGCAGGGAGGGAGTTAATGAAAATGACTAACTTTTGGTCTGCGTTACGTTGCAGGTGGACCTTAAGATGCCACATGATGCTCTGTTTAGGCAGGAAGAGTGAGACACACATAGCAAGGAGCTGCCAGCCCTGCAGGAACACATGATGAGCAGGGTTAAGTTTTGAGTCTGAGAGATCCACCACAGAGTTCGTGGGTGAGGTAGGTGTTGCGTGGCACAGGTACCAGGAATGCTTGCCACACAGTAGTAAATTCTGAAACAGACAAATATGGACATTTATTGCATACATGTATAGATTTCATATTGTGTTCCGTCTGTTTATTGCCTCATTTCATTTAATATCAGGAAGTCCAAAACGAAAATCAACTTTGATTATGTCATCAATATTTTTTTACATCTATAACATCTCGATATCTATCACTCTCGGAAACATCATCATGAACCAACTAATCATTATGAACTTTAAGCCTACGTAAACAATGGTATTTTTCTCTTTGTTAATTCAAGGCAAGGAAGAGGTATATCAAGTACATCATCTAAAAGAAAGTTTTTTTACAATGTTTGAAATGTTTTATATAAGATTTTTAAATTCAAATCTGCGGTATCTCCAACATAGAAACATTTGTTTTCTGGTTGTGTCAGTTTCACAGCTAAATGATTTAACTATTTATCATTTAAAGGAATTCCAAGCATTTTCCATTACCATCTTACAGTCATATATCTGCCAGGGAAAAGGTTAAGGATCAAATATTTACCTGGGTATTTCAAATGTACCGAACAATATTCACAATTTAGAAATTAACATCTATTTAAAAAGCAGTATATTTTTTATTAAATTTAAAATAGGAATTTTTATAGGAGGTTCGTAATTGCCAATTGCCACTTTTTACACAATTAAAGAAATGTCAACATGTTCTCATAAACATTTTGTAATCAATATTGATGCTTATTCAATATTGTAATTTTCGAGGTTAATGCGACAGTTAGTCAATGCTCTGCTCCATCATCACCCCGTGTCCCCCTGTGTACCAACCCTGTGTAAGAGGCCTGATGTAGTGGCACACACTCAACATCAATTAGCCTTCATCCTCTGGTGGCTTCTCATGTGTAAGATGTAGTAATTAAAATGAATATGGTAATTCTACAAATGGAAATGTCACATTTGCTCTGCACATTCTGCCTCTCATAGGAAAGAAAAGTGTGAAGATAGCGTGATTTCTCCACGTCCAATAACGGATGAAAATGCATGGTCACAAAGTCTGGCTAGGGCAATGATCTCCTTGTACAAATCAATGTGAAAGTTGACTGATAAGTGTTGACTGCTGACTAGCATGAAAGGCTCTTGCCTAATCTGATACAACTATACTTTATAAACCAGCAGACGATCAGCCTATATGTTGTACACCCACTTAATGTACTGTATAGCATTAGTAGGCTTTTTATCTTCCACTTAACATTAAACAACTCGTTGTGGGAAAAAGAATGCTGCTAACCATAGTGATTGATGTTTGATGTGGCGTTTCATTGGACAAGACATACCATTCAGTCAGAACATTTTCACATTATTGTATAAGTTGTCACAGTGTAATGCCACAGAGCAGACAATCACCTTAGTGTAGAACTGATGGTTACAGCTATCAGACAAATTCTGGGCACACAGTCAAAGTGTTAACTTTTTAAATTATAAGATGTTATCACAACCTCACAATGATGATCACAACTTTCAAACAGGAACACCTTGACTGTCAAAAGATGACCACAATCTGATACTGACCAGACAATCTGATACTGACCAGACAATCTGATACTGACCAGACAATCTGACCTGACAATCTCATGCTGACCAGACAATCTGATACTGACCAGACAATCTGAAACTGACCAAACAATCTGACCAGACAATCTGATACTGACCAGACAATCTGATGCTGACCAGACAATCTGATACTGACCAGACAATCTGATACTGACCAGACAATCTGATACTGACCAGACAATCTGATACTGACCAGACAATCGGATACTGACCAGACAATCTGATACTGACCAGACAATCTGATACTGACCAGACAATCTGATACTGACCAGACAATCTGATACTGACTAGACAATCGGATACTGACCAGACAATCTGATACTGACCAGACAATCTGATACTGACCAGACAATCTGATGCTGACTAGACAATCGGATACTGACTAGACAATCGGATACTGACCAGACAATCTGATACTGACCAGACAATCGGATACTGACCAGACATTAAGGTAATTCAGAAATGGATCATGAGCAGACAGTTGTAACATTGTGACACTGGGCAGACAACCACACCATTCTGACAATGAACAGATGATCACATCATTCTGACAATGAACAGATGATCACACCATTCTGACATTGAACAGATGATCACACCATTCTGACAATGAACAGATGATCACACCATTCTGACAATGAACAGATGATCACACCATTCTGACATTGAACAGATGATCACACCATTCTGACATTGAACAGATGATCACACCATTCTGACAATGAACAGATGATCACACCATTCTGACAATGAGAAGATGATCACACCATTCTGACAATGAACAGATGATCACACCATTCTGACATTGAACAGATGATCATACCATTCTGACATTGAACAGATAATCACACCATTCTGACAATGAACAGATGATCACACCATTCTGACAATGAACAGATGATCACACCATTCTGACATTGAACAGATGATCACACCATTCTGACATTGAACAGATGATCACACCATTCTGACAATGAGCAGATAATCACACCATTCTGACAATGAGAAGATGATCACACCATTCTGACAATGAACAGATGATCACATCATTCTGACAATGAACAGGTGATCATACCTTTCTGACAATGAGAAGATAATCACACCATTCTGACAATGAGCAGATGATCATACCTTTCTGACAATGAACAGATGATCACATCATTCTGACAATGAACAGGTGATCATACCTTTCTGACAATGAGAAGATAATCACACCATTCTGACAATGAGCAGATGATCATACCTTTCTGACAATGAACAGGTGATCATACCTTTCTGACAATGAGCAGATGATCATACCTTTCTGACAATGAGCAGATGATCATACCTTTCTGACAATGAACAGGTGATCATACCTTTCTGACAATGAGCAGGTGATCATACCTTTCTGACAATGAACAGGTGATCATACCTTTCTGACGATGAACAGGTGATCATACCTTTCTGACAATGAGCATATGATCATACCTTTCTGACAATAAGCAGAGGGTGACGTCAGCAGATGATCAAATAATAAGATGAAAGTAAATAAAGTATATTTCAACTTACAAAATACAGTATTTGACAACAACCAAGGGAGTGAGCTGCACAACAACAGACTACAATAGATATAGAAGAACTGTCAGGCATGACCAAATCAACATATACATACCTGCATGGTAGTTTTGTGTTGTACAGGGTGGGGAGTGGTCTGTTTGATGAGCTGGCAGTACAGTTCGTTCTGTAACTGTGGGTGACGAACACAGAGTTCAAGTATACTCTGGGCAAGTTCAACATGGAAATCCAGCTGAGAGGTATCAATCTGGGAGTAAATGAACTGCACTATCCACTGAAATGAATACAAACTTTTTAAAAAAAGGAATGGCATACCATATTTTCTGGGTTCTAAGCCGCAGAGCCAATTTTTAACAATTTTTGTGCTATTTGATCCAAACATTAGCCACACCAGAATATAAGCTGCAGCCTTTCTTAGGATGTGGTAACTGTTTTGTTGACCAGAATTTGTTGATATAACAGACAACGGAAGACAATTTATCAAGATGGTCCGCGAAACATTTTATATAAGTTTGCAAATGAATTATACACAGATAATCCTTTATATTATTGATTTGTTTCAAAAACATAAAATAGCAAATATTGAATTTGTATAGCTTGGGAGCCTGCAAAGATTGTCTATGCACAGATATATGGCCTGTCATTACAGATGCTTTACTTAACAATATCTCCAATAGTGTCTATACTGTTAAATATTAGCAAATCTCTTCCATGCTAACAAAACTCTTCTAGTCTTATATCATTTATTGTAACTAACATGAAGCAAATTTTATTGTCAACAAACATGACGGTCGTATTTGACCTATAACCTGATGACCTATCTATCCCAGGATGCAACAGGCTATTGTAAACTTCCGCTATGACTTCAAAAGCAACCATGAAAATTCAGAAGATATCATTGTGACTCGTATTAAGAGGTATGACTAATTAAATCCACAAGAATCTTAGTTTTATTTCAATTTTAAAACAATCCTGTATATGATTGCAAATGATATTCTAGACCATCTGTTTCAGTCACAATCACACGATGGACAGGTACTCGTAAAAAGACTCTGTACCTTCTCATACTGGAAGGCTTCAATTCTTTTTTCCTATCCACATATATGCCGATTATATGCAATATATTGCAAAATATTCAATTAAAAGATTTCAAGTTTTAAATCTGACATCAAAATCATTTCAAATCTAAGTCAAAATGAAGCTGAAAATCACACTAACAACATCTGAAATAATTTATTCATAAATTTGAAATGTTCCTGGACTAACATAACTTTGAGTAATTCCTGATTCTAAATCTTGTTTGCTTTTAAATGACAAAACAACAATTTACTTTAAACATTTCCGCTGCCTTGCGTTGTAGATCTTCTGAAGGTAGAGTAGTTAGAGGTCTTGTGATTGGTTCCTTGCAATGAAGCATCATGGGATGTTTCCAATATACTGAATCTGTAATTAAAGACAACAAGAAGAGAGTAAATAAGATCAATATTATGCATGCAGGAGTTGTATTTTCAATTTTATTCAATTTCAATATCTTATTTTTAGCAGAAAAACTTTTCATTTAGACTTATGAAACTTAAAAGTTTAATTAATCTAAAACCACTTAATGTATATATTTGTTCAACTGGTTTCCAAAGAATGAAAAATAAATAAATCAACAAATCTTTAATTTTATTTTCTCTCAGTCTAAATTTTTTTTTCTATTTTTTTTTTTCTCGAAAACTTTTCTATGACCTACTAGTTTCGCCTTCGACCTCCATGACTTTTGCAATGAGTTGTTCATACTCTGTGCCCACATTGCCCATTCCCCCTCCTGCCGCCACTGTCAAGTGGTACAGCCACGAATCCTAGAGTACGAAACAAAAAGACATTTTATCATCATATTCATTTCAGGGATTACACAACTTGATAGGTAAAGACTTGACACCCTGCATGTTAACAATGACATTTAACAAAATCAACATGATAAAATATTTAGTAATGATAAAGGTCAGAGTATGTAAAAATAAAGTATTTCTAATAGATGGAGCAAAAACATGTTAACTAAACTTCAGCCATGACATTTATCAGAATGAGACCTAACTGTAATGAAGATTACAACACATAGTATTCTGTGGTGTCACCTTATCGGGCTCTCTGAGCCTTGACATTGTCCACATCAATTAAAGGACTATTTTTACAGGAGAAATCAAAATACATGTATCTATTAGACAATTTTCATAAGAATTGGTTCACTTTGATTTGGCAATAAGTTTATATCCAGATTCTGGTGATGGGCTAAAAAAGTAAACAAACAACAGTTAATGTCACATTCTACATAATATCACATTTAATTTTATATAACAAACGAGACATGACATTTAAATGGTTTTACTCTACCAAAAGAGTTGAGTCAGGTATGACATCGGGAGTACAAGTTTACCTTTTCGTGCTTACTAGGCACTATAAGGTAGGTTGGTCCCTGGTTGGGTGGCCATACAGCCACCACATGTTTGGGTGTCATGGTGACCTCACATTCTTCATCCGAGTCACCAGAATTATCTACATCCTCTATCTTGGCACTTTGTAGGTTGATTTGACCGATAGGTGTCTGCAACATATGATGTGAATAAAAAGCTGTGTATGAATACTTGTTTAAATCTGAAATATAATCTATTTAACATATCAGAATCCAGTATTTCCTGAAAAACTTGTGATAAAAGATGATTATTTTATTCAATCTTTCCGTACTCGTTTAAATTTTGTTGTAACAACTGTAAGGTTAGTCTTTTGTAAGGGACACTTTTGTGAGCACATGGCTGGTAGAGCTCGATTTGGTCAAAGGATGATTTACAACTTCTGACTATATATCATTTCCTATTGGCATAGCAGTGCCTGACATATTTCCATAGACATCGCAATGCTTGATGTCATTTCCTACTGACATATTTCCATAGACATCGCAATGCTTGATGTCATTTCTTACTGACATATTTCCATAGACATCGCAATGCTTGATGTCATTTCCTATTGGCATAGCAGTGCCTGACATATTTCCATAGACATTGCAATGCTTGATGTCATTTCCTATTGGCATAGCAGCACCTGCCATATTTCCATAGACATCGCAATGTTTGATGTCATTTCCTACTGGCATACAACGCCTGACATATTTCCATAGACATCGCAATGTTTGATGTCATTTCCTACTGGCAAAGCAGTGCCTGACATATTTCCATAGACATAGCAATGCTTGATGTCATTTCCTACTGGCATAGCAATGCCTGACATATTTCCATAGAAATTGCAATGTTTGATGTCATTTCCTATTGGCATATTTCCATAGACATCGCAATGCTTGATGTCATTTCCTATTGGCAAAGCAGTGCCAGACATATTTCCATAGACATCACAATGTTTGGTATCATTTCCTACTGGCATATTTCCATAGACATTGCAATGCTTGATGTCATTTCCTATTGGCATATTTCCATAGACATCGCAATGCTTGATGTCATTTCCTATTGGCATATTTCCATAGACATTGCAATGCTTGATGTCATTTCCTATTGGCACAGCAGTGCCAGACATATTTCCATAGACATCGCAATCCTTGATGTCATTTCCTATTGGCACAGCAGTGCCAGACATATTTCCATAGACATCGCAATCCTTGATGTCATTTCCTATTGGCACAGCAGTGCCTGACATATTCCATAGACATTGCAATGTTTGGTATCATTTCCTATTGCATAGCAGTGCCTGACATATTCCATAGACATTGCAATGCTTGATGTCATTTCCTATTGGCATAGCAGTGCCTGACATATTTCCACAGACATTGCAATGCTTGATGTCATTTCCTATTGGCATAGCAGTGCCTGACATATTTCCATAGACATTGCAATGCTTAATGCCACTTCCTGTTGGCATAGCAGTGTCTGACATTCCCCTTTGACATAGCAATGTGACATTTCCTTTTGACAGTCTTTCTGTAGTACAATGTACTGTATTAGTATTTTTCCTAGTAATTCTAGTATTTCCCATACTTATTCTAGTATTTCCCATACTGTTTCCCATACTGATTCTAGTATTTCCCATACTGTTTCCCATACTGATTCTAGTATTTCCCATACTGTTTCCCATACTGATTCTAGTATTTCCAATACTGTTTCCCATACTGATTCTAGTATTTCCCATACTGATTCTAGTATTTCCCATACTTATTCTAGTATTTCCCATACTGTTTCCCATACTGATTCTAGTATTTCCCATACTGTTTCCCATACTGGTTCTAGTATTTCCCATACTGTTTCCCATACATATTCTAGTATTTCCCATACTGTTTCCCATACTTATTCTAGTATTTCCCATACTGTTTCCCATACTGATTCTAGTGTTTCCCATACTGTTTCCCATACTGATTCTAGTGTTTCCCATACTGTTTCCCATACTGATTCTAGTATTTCCCCTACTGTTTCCCATACTGATTCTAGTATTTCCCCTACTGTTTCCCATACTGATTCTACTATTTCCCATACTGTTTCCCATACTGATTCTAGTATTTCCCATACTGCTTCCCATACTGATTCTAGTATTTCCCATACTGTTTCCCATACTGATTCTAGTATTTCCCATACTGTTTCCCATACTGATTCTAGTATTTCCCATACTGATTCTAGTATTTCCCATACTTATTCTAGTATTTCCCATACTGTTTCCCATACTGATTCTAGTATTTCCCATACTGATGTAAGTATTTCCTATACTGATTCTTACTCTTAAGTTTTCACATAGAAAAGGCCACTTAAGTCTGCCTTATAGCTTTATACGTATAAAGATGTACCCACCTTTTCCTTGGCCGTCTTGTAGTAGAGAAAGTAGTGCCCCAGGAGGACACACCAACACTTGCGGGTGGCCCCATGTTTCACCTGATAAGTATAACATTCTTATTTATACTAGTATCACCACAAATTCATTTTAAGAGGTAATGAAATATTCTTGAGTGAAATAAAACTCCAATACGAAGCCTTTCAAATCTCAGTAAGATAAATGTTATTTTCTTTCCTTAGATAACTAGAATGGACATACTTCTCAGGATGCAGGACAATTGATCTTTATCTTATATTTATACAATATGTATTTACAACTCGACATATTTTGATTATAACACAGTGTAACATAAAACATAATGACTGCAGAGTGATCTGTATTGTTATCATACCTTGGTCAGCCAGCCCCTGACCACTGCCTTAGTTTCCATGTGGTCAAGCAGGAAACTGGTAGCCTGACGTTTCAGGAACTTTCGTAAAACTGCCAGGCAACACGAAAAGGAGATAGATGTTATATAAAATCTTAACAAATTAATAGATCATTCCCAGACAAATACTGAAGCCAGTCAGAACTCTCAGAATCATTCAAAATTGTACAAGATATTTGACAAAGAATGGTATACAGCATATCTGATATCAGCCTCACGTCAGTCAATTTTAAAGTGCTTTAATATGATAGCAGACACATTTTTAAACCCCTTTAACAGAGCTCAGACCCATGCTAAAACGTTTTCCTAAAACATACAAGCTATAAAGCCTTGCAGACAGAGTCCAATCTCTAAAGCATTGACAGAGGTCAATATCTGGAGATTGATAATGGACAGAATCAAAACAATCAGAAAACGAGTTTAACGCTACAGATTACATCTGAAAACCTCTGGTGGACTCCTTAGAAATTCTGGGCAACTGAGGTAATTTAATACCCTGAAATTTGAGATAAATAGTGCGCCAACAATTAATTTTCAGCCATTAGGAGAACAGCATTGGATTTTTGTTGTCCTTACTTTTGATCCACTTCTCAGTTTCAGCCTGGGTATCTGCTGTGAAGTAGTGTGTCCTCTTGGAGTTGGTTATCTGGAAGAAAAAAAAAAATCTGAATTCCAGCAGCCAAAAAAAAAAAAAATAAACTTAATTTACTTTTCCTCTAAAAGTATAGCTCTCATCCTTACATATGTCTCAAATTTCTTTAGTGTAAAGATAAAAGTTGGAATCATTTCAAATTCTTTCTGACTATTTTCTAAGATTGAAATTGTCTCCCCTGACTTGAGAAAACTTGACAAAAATGTTGCATATGTTGACTTACTTCGAAAGTGAGTTCTCCCTTGACATGAGAGATGCGGGTCTGCTCATCAAGTTTGAGAGTTCCTTGGGGCTTACGTAACACATCATGCTGTAACACAGGATTGTTCCGAACAATCAATCAGCTACAAAATCGATGCCTGAGTATCTTAGCCTTCACATTATCAAGATCTACACCACGATAAACAGTTAAAATTCCACAGTAATTTTAGCTCTTCCTGCAATGCACTTCATGTTACCAAGCAATCTTTATTTCTTGTGGATTTCCACCACAATGATTATTTTTCAGAAACGGGATCAAAAAAGTCTGATACCATTGACAAAAAAGCCTGATACCATTGACAGAGAAGTCTGATACCATTGACAGAGAAGTCTGATACCATTGACAGAGAAGTCTGATACCATTGACAGAGAAGTCTGATACCATTGACAGAAAAGTCTGATACCATTGACAGAAAGTCTGATACCATTGACAAAAAAGCCTGATACCATTGACAGAAAGTCTGATACCATTGACAAAAAAGCCTGATACCATTGACAGAAAAGCCAGATACCATTGACAGAAAGTCTGATACCATTGACAGAAAGTCTGATACCACTGAATTAGGGCACTAATAAGTAAGCTGTTTTCTTTTAATCAAATTTGATATGGAATACAACTGAGGTTGGTTCTTTTTCAAGACCATTATTTTAAATACAAATATACCTGTGACTTGTAGTAGAAGAGCTCTCCATTCCTCAAGACAAACCACCTTCTCTTCCACATCTTTACTTTACCGCCCAGTTTGGACAGGTAACCAAACTTCTCTAGAGTATCCTGTAAGTCAATAACACACTACTTTACTCTTTTGTTAATCAGCAATTTATGCTTCTAGTGGTAGTTTTTGAAATTTTGTAGATGACGTTATACCGACTATTTCTTGGAAATCATCTTCCAGTCACAGCTAGGATTTTTGTTAAACCACAAATGAATAGAATTTTTTTTCTTGTTTGAAGTCCCTTTGCAAACATATATATAAATGGTATCTAAGTTATCCATTGTTAATGGTAAAGCTGCCAAACGTACATCTTGTTGATTTTACTGGTGTACTTACATGTTTTTGATTGTCTGTGGCATACTTGAGGAGTTTCTGTTCTGGCTCGGAGTTTTCAGAGTCACTTTTACTGGAGGTCTCATCTGGAGGGTCTGCATAGTCACATGATATTTCTGAGGCTGCGGAATGGCAGGACACACCTGGACAGGAAGTAGGTAAACAGGAAGTAGTGAAAAAACAAGTGAGACAGGAAGTAGGTAAACAGGAAGTAGTGAAAAAACAAGTGAGACAGGAAGTAGGTAAACAAGAAGTAGTGAAACAACAAGTGAGACAGGAAGTAGAGAAAAATAAATCTAACTTGAAATCAATTCCACGTGTCACAATGAACAGTGAAATAGATATTATATCTGGTTCTTAATCTGGATGGTATCCAATAAAATCCTGCAAACTTGTTCAAGATATAGCTTATTTAGATTATGAAATTTTCATTGAAAAATGTGAACAAAAAAATACTATTTCTCACAGTGACAAATTTAAAATCACAAACTAACTAACCCAATGAAAAGTCATAATTCATATTTATTCTAGACAGAAAATGCAGGCTAGCGCAATCAGTGATTAAAAAAAACTGTGATATATCAATTTCATACGTATGACTTTGAAATGATATATTTACCCCTCTTAGTGGCCCCTGAGCTACTTTGCTGCTGTTTAGATATGTTTCTGTCAGTGATTGGGCTTGCTGCTGAGGTACTGAGATCTGGTTGTTCAGTGGTTCCCGTGGGGAGTGGTCCCTCTTCATTGTCAGAGGATTCCGAAGATGATTCCCCTGTAAATGGCGTGCTGCGAATCTGAGCTGCTTTCTGGGTACAGATGTAAGAAGAAAACTTGTCAATGCTTCAGTCACCAACAATGAGGATTACTATGACTTACAGAAGTATATAACAAATAGTAACAAGAGTCCAAAGGGGCCTGCATCGCTCACCTCACTTATATAGCTATTCAGCCATTTAATAAAGAAATTTCAATATAACAATTTCTGATATTAACTCCCTATTTGGTCTCACCCTTGTGGTCAAACAGAGGTCAGATTCACTATTCAGGAAAATTGCTTCAGACCAAACTTGTATGGAAGAAGGACTTTTAAGAAATTATCTTTTTCCAACTTGGGCCACCCCTCTCACCCCATGCATGGTTAATACTGTACTTAGTTCCATTCAGCCTAAAACAATTCAGAGCAAATTTGGGCAATATATAATTATTCTTATAGGAGGACTAAGATCTTAATGAGCTTGCAAAACTTCCCCTTTAGGGCCCAGCCCCTAAGGTCCCTGGGAACTGAAAACCAATTCTTACACAAGCTTTGTTCTTTTTCACCCGAAGAATATTCTAACCAAAATTGTGTGATATCTCATCATTTGTAATGGAGACTTTTAATGAATTTGCTTTATTTCCCCATGTAGGCCCCACCCTTTCCACCCAAGATGGCAAAGACCCAAAGTTTAAATAAAATTGATTCCTCTTCATCCAACAATTCTACAAACCATATTTAGGCTAAATCTAATATTTCTTAAGAAAGAATAGGAGTTTACAGAATTTGCTCTATTACCCCTGTTGGGCCCCTCTCTCTCAGGCCCCAGGGACTTGAGACCTACCATATATAAAAAAAAAGTTCCCTTTCCCTAGGAAAACTTCTGACAAAATTTTGTCAAAATCTTGCAAGTCCTTTATGACCAGAAGTGATTTTTTATGAAAAATTTGACAGATGACAGACGATATGGTATGACATAAGCTCACTTAGCTTCGGGCCAGATGAGCTAAAAATTGCTTTCTTTCAAGAAAACATTTTCAACTAGTTATCTTTCACATTCTTCAAGTAAAACAGCAAATAAAACAGTCCTCCACATGTCCCACCCTTTTCTTCTCATCTATCATTTCTCCTATGTTGGCAATGTTTATTATTTTTCTGCTTCTTTGTCTTCACTTTCATTTCTCCAAACTTTAGATTCTATGATATGCAAGTATGCAATGGAGAAAGTTTTTGCCTAATTGAATATCATGAATGTGTTTCTTGTTTGTAAGCATGTATCTATATGAGTACCTCTGTGTGCATGGCAATATTAGATGTGTGTAGTGTGTTTATATGTGAACCACTGGAAAAATGTAAATCACTTTGTGGTTGATATTGTGGATTGATTTGTATCATGTGATACAATGTGAATTCAAAATAAAAAATCAAAGGAAACAAAAAAAAAAAAAAAAAAAATGTAAAGAAGAAAACTTGACAACAAAGCCAGAAATGTATTTTACAACAATGTATATCAGATTTTTTTGTGTAGGACTAATTTTGCCAATTTGAAAAAGAAATGTTTCGTCCTTTTATGTCACCAGTAAATTTGCTACAAATAAAGATTAATTAATAACAATTAAAGGGAACACATTCAGATATCAATATATTAATTTCCAGTTTATATCTGAAAATTTTTTATGAACAGCTGACATTTCAATAAAATAAATACCTTATATATACATAAAAATTATCAATAAATCCTTCACATTAATCTGATATCAAATCTCATTTATAATCTATATATGAACTCAGACTCCATGCGGTATATGGATCCTATGTAACATTAACTGCTATTACATATACAATACCCAGAAATTCAATATATATGACTTATATACTGACCCCTTTCAGTGTGGCAAACACTGGCACACTGAGGTCCTGGTAAAGTTGATCCAACGCAGTTACCTCATGACCTGGACTTCGGGAAGCTGAAAGTCAAACATCCTCAAATAATTCATCTTAGCATTATTAATTGATGGCTGCTTTTTTCTGACTTATTTTAGAAAGATGGAATCAATTGAGTAAATTAAGCAATTAAACAAATAAAAAACAAAGGTTGTTGCAATCTTGTACCTGAAGTCACTTACTGAATGTCACTGTGACCTTGTATCTGAAGTCACTTGTACTGAATGTCACTGTGACCAAGTATCTGTAGTCATTTGTACTGAATGTCACTGTGACCTTGTATCTGTAGTCACTTGTACTGAATGTCACTGTGACCTTGTATCTGTAGTCACTTGTACTGAATGTCACTGTGACCTTGTATCTGTAGTCACTTGTACTGAATGTCACTGTGACCTTGTATCTGTAGTCACTTGTACTGAATGTCACTGTGACCTTGTATCTGTAGTCACTTGTACTGAATGTCACTGTGACCTTGTATCTGTAGTCACTTGTACTGAATGTTATCATGACCTTGTATCTGTAGTCTTGTACTAAAGGTCACTTAGACTATATATCTACAATTACTTGAATTGAATGTCACTGTGACTTTATATCTAATGATGCATTTATGCCCTGGAGTTCACTGTAACCTCGTGTCTGTAGTAACTTCAACTGAGGGACAGTGTTTTATATTTTGTCACTTCTACTGAAGGTAACTGTCCTGATAATTGTTATCATGTGTACAGAACTAGATCTTTCATACTGTATTATTAACATACAATGTTCTTCGCTTTAAAACAATGCTACAAAGAGGTGCTTAAAAACTCACTCTAGAATCAGACTATCAGAAGATTGAAAACTAAACTAAAGACTGGAAATGTTTCAAAGTACACTGCACAAAACATTATTTGTAGACAAAGCAATTTTCTGTGGTATCTATAGAGAACTATAGATTGTATAACTGTCAGCTACATCCTCCAAAATCTCCTACTAATATTGATAATATTGATAAATCATCATTTTTTTAGCATGACTCAAGGCTTTCATCCTGTAATTCATCACAGTTGTGGCTAGGTAAACTGTAATCCTGATACAGCTATCAGAGATGTGTTGGTAGAGCTGTGTTATGTGCAATGTTTTTTCATCTACACATAAATTCAGATAAGTTTTGTCTTAAAATGCAACAATTTGACATGTTCTTAGCCTTAAGTTACAAAATTGTATCAGTAGTACATATATTTTACATACAGTTCACCAAATTATAGGGCTAGTATACTTACCTATTATATTGTGGTCTGGAGGTTGCTGACGAGACTTCTTAGGAACTGCATAGTTTCGTTTTTCCTGAAATAAAGTTATATTGTCTCCAATCATATTGTGATATTCTTAAACATTGTATCATCTACAATACATCGTTGTATTTTAAAAACATTAAATCACTTTCCATTTTGTGATATTTTAAAACATTGTATTATCTACAATTTTTCGTGCTATTTTAAAATATTGAATCACTTATCATATTGTAATATTTGACAATGTTGTATTATCTTTCATGTTGTGAAATTTTAAAGGGACAATTTAGTGGAGTTTGAATTTTTTCTGACAAAATGGAAAAACCCTGCATTCAATTATATCTCTGATCTGCATTATGAACAGAATATGCTGAAATATTGGAAAAATCCTACAGTTTTCGCGGCAATTAAAACCAAATAAATGGAATTTTTTTGTGTGTTAGTCCTACAGGTAGTGTTTTTGTTATGTAACACTACCACCTACTTGAACCAAAGAAACATGTACTGGTGCTGAAGAGAGATGGACGATCACAATCATCTAATTTTGTTCTAGTGCCTGGACAGTACTATAGTACTTGGTAAATATAAAGTCATTGGCACAAGTGAGTGACTCATTTTACACACTTAAATCATAAATTTTTTGTCATCAACCTATCTTCAGATTCTTCCTACTTCACTGTTTACCTGTGGTTTTGAGCTGTGGACCTCACCAAACTATTGCATACACATTATGCTTCTACACAACTGAAAATCTGTTTTTGTTGAAATTCATTGACCCAAAACAAAACAATGTATCATGTAGGATTCTGATAATGACACACATAGAGTAGTTCTGATGCCTGCGATAAAGATTGCATAAGTGAAATCATGCACACCATGTTGTTATGCATTGGGGCCTGATTGATGCTATTTTGGACATAAAAGGTTAAATTTTTCACTTGCTTTCCCTTAAATAAAAACTGGCTACAATGGGCAGTGTTATTTAAACTTTTATGTTAACTTTCATAAGGAGTGATATATTATCAGTACAAGGCCAATTTCAAACTTGTAAGTTGACTAAATTGTCCCTTTAGAATATTGTCCCATATACCACAAGAATAATCTATTTCACTACCGATGAAAGTTGATATTTTTTGTGGCCAGTTTAGATCAAGAATAGCCGAGGTCCTTAAACCATGTCGCAAAACGAGTTTGAATATCCAGACTATACATACTTAGATGAGACAACTACTAGAGATACTTACCCAAAGTGTGTGGGAAGCAGCTCGTCTTGTTGTCACGGGAGACGACCTGGTTTTACTTGAGGTTGTATCCCGAACAGCACCAATCACCTGAGGTTCTAATACAGGAGGAGGTGGAACAAAATGTCCCCTCCCTCTTTGTGTTTCCTGAGCAAGAAAGAACTGTGGTCCCTCCTTTGGAGCTAGAAGTTGAAGAGGAGGTGGTTTGTCACGCTCCTTCCTCACCCGCGGGAATGTTGCAATGGCAGACACATTGGAGGTATGATGGTGGCCAAACACCCCAGTCATGGAGGGAGAAGCTTGTGGAAGGAGTGGAGTTAATGGCGTCAAAGGGGTCATAAGAGTGCTAGGGGTCAAGGTTATAGGAGTAACATCCTCCACAATTATCTTATCTTCAACTTCCTCTTCCTCCTCCTCATCCTCCAGACGAAGGGTATCATCATCCCCATTTAAGATATCACCATTTTGTAAATTCCTGAGACGAGACAACACTTCTTCACTTCCAGTACTAGAACTAACCAAGGAATCAAAGATATGTGGGTCATGAAATTGTTTTCGTTCAATTTTGATCTGTGGAGGTAGAGATTTTTTAGGTTCATATGTACTTTCATGATTCTGATCCACTTCCTGGTAAAGGGGATCATGCTCAATGTCTGCCATACTATCGTCACTATTATTATCGGAGAGATTTTCTGTTAAACCATCTGGACTACTATCAGGTGTGTCAGAAGGTGGACTAATACTAACATCAGTCCTATCCTCCATTAGTTCTTGTTCCATTTTAAAAGCTTCCAGTATTGAAGGTGAAGGTCGTCTGGGAATTTCTGGAGGTAGAACAGCAGGGGAGGCTGATCGTGAACTGAAACTTGATCCTGGCTGTGAACTTACAAAGTCTAAGGTGGGTCTTGAACTGTATGTCTGAGAAAATGGTTGTAAATTCACAACTTCTGAGACAGTTTCTGACCACCCTGTTCCTGAGAATGGACGGATGACCCCTACGACTTCGGACATTGGACGAGAACCAAAGTTGTGAGATGCTGGCCTTGAACTTGTTTCGGAGACTGGCCTTGATCCAAGAAGTCCTGAGAGATTGGTCATCTCTGAGGCTGTCCTTGATCCCATGTCTTGTGATGGGGGTCGGGATGTCTCAACGACTGATGAGGACGGTCTAGAGAAGGAATCCTGAAACACATTATAGATCTACCAATATAATTTACTAAATATATTCATTAAAGCTGAAGATATTCCTAAATTTATGTATTCATATATTCATTTGACCATTTTCAACAGACTGATAATGAAATAACCTTAGCTGAAACCCTGAAATATACATAGACATTAAAAAAAGGTTAAAAAATAAATATAATATGAGTCCTTTCATGATAAGCTAGCTGTTGAGATTTAGATTACTTTTCAATATCTGAAGAACTGACTTCCTGTACAATAACAGACATTTTATTCCAATGTAAAACATCACTTTCAGTGATTGGTATCAAAATGTTTCATTTCAAATGAAAAATGCAAAACCATTCAAGCTGCTATTGGTGAACCTACTGATAGATAAGAACTAGTATCATGTTTATCGTTTATATATGGAAACAAATATTGAAGCATGAGGTGTCTTTTTACCTGACCACTCATTCGATAAATTTCTTTAGCTGCAAAGGCAGGGAGGGCCTGTAGTCGTTCCCGAAGGATCTCTACCTGGTCCTGAAGCATCTCATTTTCTGTCTGGAGGGCCTGGTTCTGTTGTTCCAGCTGTAACAACACAAATCAGAACTAAACATGATCTCATATAATTATAAATGTAGCACTATTTCAATACAATATCGATTAAACAATAAGAACCCACCAAAGTACCAGGTTATACATATAGATATATACATACCAGTTATATATATAGACCTGAGCTAAACTACAAGAGATCTCACAGGGATCTTGGAACCCACCATCATTTGATCTTTCTTTGCTCTTTGAAAGTTGGATCTTTTCCCTAATTTCTCTTCTCTTCTCTGCATTTGCTCTTAATGATAAGAAATTTGAACATTCCTTTGCAGAGATTGCGATGATAATTTCCAAATCTAAAATGGTCGCCTGGAAACCATTTTGTTTTTCTGATAAAGCCTAAAATCAAATGGCACAAGTAGAGACCAAAGGGAATATACGCATGAAATTGGAGAGAGGTCCATCCAGTGCCTCTTCAGAAATAGGGATAGCAATCTTTAATAGGCAAAATCCAAGATAGTTGTCTCACAGAACAGACAGTTTGTTTTTCTGATCAGACCCGAAATCAAATGGACACAACTAGGGTCCAAGGGGAACCTACATAGGAAATTTAAGAAAGATCCATCTGGTGCTTCTCAAGAAAAAGTGATAAAAAACTTTCAAAGTCAAAATCCAAAATGGCCATCTGTCAGCCATTTTGTTTTCCTGATCAGCCCCAAAATCAGATAGGCAAAATTTGAGATCAAGAGGAATATACATATGAAATTTGAGAGAGATCCATCCAGCACTTTTTAAGAAATAGCAATAACAAAGATTGTTTACGGACAGACCACTGACCACAGACATGAGGCAATTTATATAGCCCATCATATATATGGCTAAAAATGAGAAAAAAAGAATTTCTGCTTAGAATTGACAATGACCATTTCAAAATCTTATGAACTGTGAAATAGTATGATCAAAATCCACATATTGTCATTTTTTCCTACATTTCAAACATTTTCTTTTGAGATAGTATATCAGTGTTAGTAGTAATGATACACAGTACCCTTATAATACTGGACACAGTGTATTAGGAATTAAGTATCACCAGCTAGAACTACATATTTGTTTGAAATCTCAATCTCAGTGCAGTATGTAAAACTAATGTCTGTATCTTCTGATATTCTCTCGTTATTTCATACTTCAATCAACCAAAGTGACCTAGACGTCACCTTTCTACAGCAGAGATAATCAAACTCATACAACGGCATACAGAGACTGTGTGTGTATTGGCAGGGTAAAGAATCATTAAGGAGAAGAAAGGGAGTTAATAAGGGTATGATATCAATCTTTTGTATACATGGAAGCATACCTAAACCCTAAGTGGCAGTAAAACATGAGTTAGAGCATTATACTGTAACTCAATCCACTCCATTTTGTAGATTTTGGTGATAATTTCAGGTCATTTGGTAGAACTTCAAGTTCCAGAATTAATTTTAAAGAGATTTATCAACGTCTGTCAATTCTTAGGTCAATCAATATCACACATTTTAGACAGAGTAATTATGACTAAGCGATTTTGAGAGAATCATTGATCACAGTGGACATAAAAGAACCATTGGGGACACATCCTCACTAGAGTAACAGTGGCATGGAAAATCAGAATCTACAAACCGTATTTGATCTAATAAACAGAATATGTGCTTACAAAATGACTGCACTTAATAAAACTATTCCATGTGACAGATGTTGATACACGAAATTTTGATACAGGAAAACATCATTTTGAATTTGAAAACCAGAAAATATCTGAGATACCAATACATGCAGATATTGGTAATGTTGGACACATTCTATAAACAGTAATGGTGACTGTAATTGACCTTTGAACTCTAAACACAAATTTATCCATGGTTTAGTCTAAGTTTCCATTTGGATAATGTTTTACAAAATTCATTAAGTATACACAATCAGTGATAATAATGATTTAGGATGGAATATGGTATATGTCGTGACAAGGAATGTGGCAGGCAAGGTTAACACTATAGCATAAGATAAAATTACACAAATCTCCACTAATATTTTGTAAATATATATATATGAAACCTATTACCACACTTTAAGAAATATAACTATGACAATTGAAGTTTCATGAACAAAATACCAGAAAGAATTCTTTTTGAAAGTTTCTTGGTTGCTTTTTTAAAGTATATACGATGCAATGCTGTTTTATTATTATTCTGCGGAGTTAACCACTTCCTTATACAGGAGAAGTCAGGACAGGTTTACCTAATATACACTTAAAGCTGTAGACAGCACCAAAATCCTGTACAATATAAACCCAATGTCACCAATTGATGTACAATTGCATTCAACTGTAAAAAATTGTAATGAAAACAGGAAATTTCTTCTGAACCTTTTTACAAATGTTATGTACCAAATGTAATTCTAATAAAGAAACAAATAAAAGGTGTTTCCTGTTATGTTCTCAGATCTGACAAAAAATCAGGGTTAGGGAGTGTATTGTAGGTCAACTTCCAGCTATTGACAAATTCACCTGGATTTGTGGCTTACAGCTAACGACATTAGCTGACAATGACCTGTGTGCCCCTGTCTAGACAATACTCTAAAATCAATGTACCTTTAGAAGTGTGTTACTCGGTAAACGCCTGATTCATCATTTTTCAATAATGCATGTCTGGAAGTACTCAGTTTTCATGTTTAATCAAAACTTCTAAATGTCGTAGTAAACAATGGCTGCAGAAAAGATCAGCTTTATTGCATTTTCCAAGCACAACATTTAAATTTTCTGTTATAACATAAACATCTAAATATTTGAGTAATCTTTTGTTAGGGTTTGTCTTATATTTGACTGAAAAGTTATCCCTTTCTTGTCAAATATGACCTTCAGTTTATTTTGTTTTCAATATGCTGGTAAAGGTGAAGGTCAGAGTTAGCAGTATCAATATAGCAATCCATGATCACCTGCTGTCTCAGGTCATAGACATCCCAAATTACTGGAAAAAGACCTTAAAGGGAAACCCATGACAATAAAGAGTCAGGATAATTGAAATGATATTTCTTTATCTGTAGCATAATTTTGAATATTTTAGAATGTGAAAAAGGATTTGATTTTATGTTGTATTTATTCAAAATTACAAGTAGATACAGGATATGTGATTACCTATCGTCTATGGAGCTCTGCTAGAATATTCTTGTATCTGCCTAGGATTCCTCTACCGATATACGTTCCAACCAGTACCACACACAAGACATTGGACTCTTCCACTCTTTTGTACTATCCCATTTGATTACAGATTAGGTCAAAGGTCAATAAAGTATTTTCTTGATTTGAGTGAGTCTTATATAACCAATATAAGTTGACCTGACCAAATTAGGTGAATTGACAACACTGGGTTGGACAAACCTTATACCCTACAGCACTTTCTGCTTAATGGTAAGTACATTTTAAAAGCATTTTAAAACCAAAGGCAATAAGCATCATATCAGCTGGACTGTACATACCTGTGATAATTTATTTGTAACCCAGTCTTTGATTTTACCAGCTTTGTTCTCAACTTGTTTCGCATCTTGTTGTCGCTGTCGTTTCTAAAAACAATAAATTTACCACATAATGTAAGTAGGTTCTTACAAACACTAATACAAGAAGCCTAGGGTCTCAATTCATATCATGTTTTTCTCCAAAAATTTTCACATTTCAAAATTTTAGATGTATGTCTTTCAAACATCATTTAGAAAAGTTACAAAAAGTATTTATTCTTATAAAATTGAACATCTAGTGATGAGATGTTCCTACACAGACTTAGGAGAATTTTGTCACAAATGGGAATAACATTAGACTGGCTTCTGCATAATTGATTACTATAAAACAACAACACAAACTGGCATTTTATGTCAGATATTATCTTATTTATATCATAACATAAAAATAACATAAAAGAGAAACATTCACTGAAGATGACAGAGAGTATAACATGAAGACAACTTTACCAGCTAGTCAACAATGAATGTGCCTTCTGAAATATCACTTCTTGTTTACTTTATTGACAGTACTTTTACATTTCAAAGTAATTTCTGTTAACTCATAACATCAAAATGACATGTTGGGAAAAAGGTTTCTACAAAGTCAATAAGCTATAAGCTATACTATACAGGACAACTACAGAATATATGTACATCAGATATACCTGGTACATACAGGTCAGGACCAGTACCAAATACCTGTACATCAGATATACCTGGTACATACAGGACGAGTACCAAATACCTGTACATCAGATATACCTGGTACATACAGGTCAGGACCAGTACCAAATACCTGTACATCAGATATACCTGGTACATACAGGTCAGGACTAGTACCAAATATCTGTACATCAGATATACCTGGTACATACAGGTCAGGACCAGTACCAAATACCTGTACATCAGATATACCTGGTACATACAGGACGAGTACCAAATACCTGTACATCAGATATACCTGGTAGATACAGGTCAGGACCAGTACCAAATACCTGTACATCAGATATACCTGGTCCATACAGGACCAGTACCAAATACCTGTACATCAGATATACCTGGTACATACAGGACCAGTACCAAATACCTGTACATCAGATATACCTGGTACATACACGACCAGTACCAAATACCTGTGCATCAGATATACCTGGTACATACAGGTCAGGACCAAATACCTGTACATCAGATATACCTGGTACATACAGGTCAGGACCAAATACCTGTACATCAAATATACCTGGTACATACAGGTCAGGACCAGTACCAAATACCTGTACATCAGATATACCTGGTAGATACAGGTCAGGACCAGCACCAAATGCATGTACATCAGATATACCTGGTACATACAGGACCAGGACCAAATACCTGTACATCAGATATACCTGGTACATACAGGTCAGTACCAGTACCAAATATCTGTACATCAGATATACCTGGTACATACAGGTCAGGACCAGTACCAAATACCTGTACATCAGATATGCCTGGTACATACAGGTCAGGACTAGTACCAAATACCTGTACATCAGATATACCTGGTACATACAGGACCAGGACCAAATACCTGTACATCAAATATACCTGGTACATACAGGTCAGTACCAGTACCAAATATCTGTACATCAGATATACCTGGTACATACAGGTCAGGACCAGTACCAAATACCTGTACATCAGATATGCCTGGTACATACAGGTCAGGACTAGTACCAAATATCTGTACATCAGATATACCTGGTACATACAGGTCAGGACTAGTACCAAATACCTGTACATCAGATATACCTGGTACATACAGGTCAGGACCAGTACCAAATACCTGTACATCAGATATACCTGGTACATACAGGACCAGGACCAAATACCTGTACATCAGATATACCTGGTACATACAGGTCAGTACCAGTACCAAATACATGTACATCAGATATACCTGGTACATACAGGTCAGGACTAGTACCAAATACCTGTACATCAGGTATACCTGGTACATACAGGTCAGGACCAGTACCAAATACCTGTACATCAGATATACCTGGTACATACAGGACCAGGACCAAATACCTGTACATCAGATATACCTGGTACATACAGGTCAGGACCAGTACCAAATACATGTACATCAGATATACCTGGTACATACAGGTCAGGACTAGTACCAAATACCTGTACATCAGGTATACCTGGTACATACAGGTCAGGACCAGCACCAAATACCTGTACATCAGGTACATTTGGAATCCCACAGGATGTCCATTCATATATTATAGATATACATCACACATCTATTGTAAGCAATATCCTGTACTTTTACAACTATGTTTGTTTCCTGTTTGAGTCCTTGGTCTCAAACACAACATAATTGTTTAACAAGCACCAGGGGAGACACAGAGAGGAAGATATTCTCAGCAGAAATCTGAGCTTTAGTTGGTTGTTATCCTACTGGGTGGTAAGACCTATCTATAACATACAGTTATGATGAACAACGATAAACTCTGCAGCAGTGCACCTGTGTCTACAGGTGTATCCGCTTACACCTGTACAAATACTCTATTTTCTTTATTCTGAAGTTATGAAATTTTGAATATTTTTATATATCATATAATCCTTTGTTCATTTTATTTTTAAGATAAATCTGTATATTTCTACATCAACAAGTTATTAGGTTTCAGACCTTTATGATACATGCATTCTAACCCGTTACTGGAATTATGACACTTGTCTAGGTAAAAGATGGACACCTATGTTGATAAATGTTTGTTAATAAAAATTTCAAGATAAGATATCAAGGATAAACAATGGCATTCCTGAGACATGGGTTATAATCACAAGTATAGAACTGTTCAAACAGCCTTGACCTCTTGTATACCAATATATCACTGTTCAAACAGCCTTGACCTCTTGTATTCCAATTCATCTTTGCTCAAACAGCCTTGACCTCTTGTATTCCAATAAATCACTGTTCAATCAGCACTGACCTCTTGTATTGCAAAACAGCCTTGACCTCCTATGTTCCAATTCATCACTATTCAAACAGTACTGACCTCTTGTAGTCCAGTCTCCGATACAGTATTGATCAAACAACCTTGACCTTTAAAACTCCAATACAGTACTGGTCAAACAGCCTTGACCTCTTAAACTCTAATACAGAATTGATAAAACAGTCTTGACCTCATGCATCCAAATAAAGTACTGATCAAATGGCCTTGACCTTATGCACTCCAATACAGTATTTATCAATTAGCCTTGACCTTTGAACTACATCACAATATTGATCAAACAGAGATGACCTCTCAAACTTGACAAAAGTATCGATCACATAGCCTTGAACTCTTGCACTCCAATACAATAATGAGCAAAAGTCATGACCTTTCAAATTCCAATAAACTATTGGTCAAACAGGCTTAGCTTCTTCAACCCTAACACAATAATGTTAAAAAAATTCTTGACCTCTTTCATTCTACCTATGTAAATTTGATAAAAGTTTAAGAAAGATCTGCACAATCATAAACTTTGCTTGTATTTTCACTATCAGTGTAAGTGTGTGTTACAGCTGTCATCATTAACAGAAGCAACTATAAAAGAAACTGCAAACAAATATTTGTACTTGAAACAGAATCTATCTGTTGTTGATTCCGCTTACACAGCTACATCAAGGTCTTTATAAAACACTGTTTAGCTCATCATTAGTCATCCATTATACAACATGATACTCTAACAGCATTAAAACTCCATCAGTTCTACAGAACCTAACCAAGTGTTAAATGAATTGTCAAACATCACTGTGAATTTATACAGACCTGTTCGTCTAATTGTTCTTGCAAAGATTTGATGATTTTATTTTTCTCATGACATTCCCTTTGAAGGTCGTGCACTCTGGTTTCAAGGTCACGGGGCTGCCAGTGGATTGCTGCAAGCTGCTGCTCCATCATGCGAAGCTAGAAGAGACAAAATATACCTCATAGTTTGAGATCTTCAAAGACATCATAATATGTTAACACAATTGTCTTAAAATTTATGATATAAGGGAATCCTGATAGGTATTTCAGAATGGTAAATATGTGAATAGGCATGTTTCACGATCCCACTATTTGACTTTTTGAACCCGGAGTAAGGAGAGTTCCATTCTAAAACGAGGCGCAGGGTGTCAAAACTTCCCATTCAACATGGCTTCAAATGTAAATCTGCACGATATTGATATAGAAGACATCGGTAAATTGAGCGTTTTGGTTTTGAAAGACATATTGCAAGAGTATCGTGAAGGGTTAAAAGGTAATAAGGAAATGCTGGTTGCAAGATATATCACTCTGAAGTCCCGTTTATTTGATGAGCCGATATGTGTGAATTCTGAAAAAAGATGGCCACGACCCTTTTCCCGATTTCAGAAGTTGGAAGGACATCACTTATGACATGCTTTACGCATCAGCTAAAGGTCTTGTGTGGTCCAATGATTTGAGAAGACTATGTGAGAGTAATTTTCATCAACTTTATGACTATTTAGTTGTGAGGACAAAACAGTAAGACAACATGGAAATGGAGGGTTCGTGTTAGTTGTTATCCCTCTGATGGCACGGTGGTTTCCCCCCATGGGTTTTCCTCCACCGTTGAAACAACATTTGTTCCCTCAGCAGCATCGTAATAAAAGCTCTACAGAGCTTATGTTAGTTGTTAACCTGTACACTACAGTAAATAAAGGTTATTATTATTATCTGTCATTTTGACAAACCCCTCATCACACCGAGATCACACACTCGGTTAGGCATGCACTCTTCGTTATCTATAACCAGATATGATATTTTCTACTTAAACTCAACTATTTTGATCTTACAATACCAATGCAGTGAACACTTATACTAATCTTCACAGTATGCTATCCGCTTAACGGCTTTAAGATGTACAACGTCAACTTAGGCTACTGTTGGATGAGAGCTGTCAAACAGGTTGTCAACACCTCGCACCTCATTTTAATTTTTTAACCGGAGAGTTTTTTCAAATACGAAGTTAGAATGTGAAACGGGTCTATTGATGTTACTGTCACTTGATTTTTAAAGATTACCAGGTAAAGAAACAGTTCTATTTCATTCAGTTTTATATGACTTGTACCTGCCAAGTCTACCTTTTCTGAGAGTGACTATTTTTGGCTTCATTATATTAATCTATCAGTTCTAAAGCTTCGTGAAATCAAATAAAATTCAGACCTTGAAATCAAGAAGAGGTGATAGATGTTGAAGCTACAGAATCAAATTTCACTGTTGTACATTGCATTGCAATGCAAATGAATGCATGTATATATCATTTCAAAGCTAATTTTGGTCAAATGTGAAAACAATAGAGATTATTTTACAAGTTTAAATGTTACTGGAACATGATAACGGGTGAATTTTCAACTACTATTAAATTCTATTCTGATGTAAATCGTAGTGTCCGAAATTGTTATTATTATGCAATATTTAGGAACTGAGATCTGTATAACAGATATACAGAATGCCAGCTTTTGAAAATGTTTTGTTTACTGTAAATTAAAGACCTCACTATTGAAACCAATTAACAGCAGGTTCACCCACAGAAATATTGTTATAGAACTATTGTGCTCAAGGTTATGTAGTTAATATGTAATCTGTTCCATACAAGTGCTTTACATAACATACAAGCACTGGTATTAAGGATAAGACAAAGGTAGCAGGGTACACTGTGGTATTTTATACCTGTAGAACGTATCAATAAATGATATAGATTTTACTGTGTTTTTAAAATCTACTGCTTCATACCTCTAATTTACACTAGAAAAAACTATATACTTCATCATATTTGAACATGAAATTGATTTTGTGCTTTTACTTCAGCTATTTACAGAAATATTAACTGATTACATAACGACATGTACATAAGACTTGAGTACTCCTCATCAATGTCCATGGTTTACTGTATAATGACACAGGAAGAAGATTTATGGAAGTTTGGGTAATATTACTCTAGTGACACATGAAACAAACTACACTTGTATGTACCACACAACAATATAGTGTAGAAGGAATTAAAATTGATCAGGATGTACCATTAGCTATGGCCATCAGATCTAGACACTGACAGGTACAACAACCAGCATCCTATAATGTCAAGTTATTTAAGGCAACAGACATGTTTTCTTAATCCTAATACACAGATATATGGATCAAAGATATTGACTTAGGGCTAATTATCATATCTTACATTTATTATTGATTATGTTGTCCATTAGCATGACAATAAATCAACCTATTGTATAAACCTTGTCCTTAAAACACAATGTCTGCTCTCTCTCCATATATATCTGATGCTTTTATAAACAATGTATTCTTTACAGATATCATCTATACATGTTATGTGTTATCTATATACGCTGTGCCTAATATAAACAATGTATACTATACAGATATCATCTATACATGTTATGTGTTATCTATATACGCTGTGCCTAATATAAACAATGTATACTATACAGATATCATCTGTACATGTTATGTGTTATCTATATACGCTGTGCCTAATATAAACAATGTATACTATACAGATATCATCTATACATGTTATGTGTTATCTATATACGCTGTGCCTAATATAAACAATGTATTCTATACAGATATCATCTGTACATGTTATGTGTTATCTATATACGCTGTGCCTAATATAAACACTGTATTCTATACAGATATCATCTGTACATGTTATGTGTCCTTTATAAACACTATGTTCTAATAACAATGTATTTTATACAGATATTGTCTATAAATGTAATGAGTTCTCTGTATATAAAAGCCCTTTATAAACATGTTCTCTGTATACAATGTGCCCTATATAAACATGTTCTCTGTATACAATGTGCCCTATATAAACATGTTCTCTGTATACAATGTGCCCTATATAAACATGTTCTCTGTATACAATGTGCCCTATATAAACGGGTCCTCTGTATACAATGTGCCCTATATAAACATGTTCTCTGTATACAATGTGCCCTATATAAACATGTTCTCTGTATACAATGTGCCCTATATAAACGGGTCCTCTGTATACAATGTGCCCTATATAAACATGTTCTCTGTATACAATGTGCCCTATATAAACAGGTACTCTGTATACATAGTGCCCTATATAAACATGTTTTCTGTATACAATGTGCCCTATATAAACATGTTCTCTGTATACAATGTGCCCTATATAAACGGGTCCTCTGTATACAATGTGCCCTATATAAACATGTTTTCTGTATACAATGTGCCCTATATAAACATGTTCTCTGTATACCATGTGCCCTATATAAACATGTTTTCTGTATACATGTGCCCTATATAAACATGTTCTCTGTATACAAAGTGCCCTATATAAACATGTTCTCTGTATACAATGTGCCCTATATAAACATGGTATATCTATATAAACATGTTGTATACAATGTGCCCTATACAATGTGATTGTTTTCCTATATAAACATGTTCTCTATATACAATGTGCCCTATATAAACATATCTGTGTAATGACTGTTCTCTATAAACACTGTCCTATATCAATGTATTGTGTACAATGTGCCCTATATCTTTATGTGTAATGACTGTTCTCTATAAACACTGTCCTATATAAACATGTTTTCTGTATACAATGTGACCTATATAAACATGTTCTCTGTATATCTTTATGTGTAATGTGCTGTCCTATATATATAAACATGTCCTATATAAACAATTTTCTGTACAGATATCATTATCTCTAATGACTGTTCTCTATAAACACCTTGTCGTATATAAACACTGTCCTGTATAAACAATGTATTCTGTACAGATATGTTTATGTGTAATGACTGTTCTCTATAAACACTGTCCTATATAAACAATGTATTGTGTACAGATATGTTTATGTGTAATGACTGTTCTCTATAAACACTGTGTCCTATATAAACAATGTATTCTGTACAGATATCATTATCTCTAATGACTGTTCGCTATAAACACCTTGTCGTATATAAACACTGTGTCCTATATAAACAATGTATTCTGTACAGATATCTTTATGCGTAATGACTGTTCTCTATAAACACTGTCCTATATAAACAATGTATTCCGTACAGATATCTTTATGTGTAATGACTGTTCTCTATAAACACTGTCCTATATATACACTGTATTCTGTACAGATATCTTTATGTGTAATGACTGTTCTCTATAAACACTGTCCTATATAAACAATGTATTCTGTACAGATATGTTTATGTGTAATGACTGTTCTCTATATACACTGTCCTATATATACACTGTATTCTGTACAGATATCTTTATGTGTAATGACTGTTCTCTATAAACACTGTCCTATATATACACTGTATTCTGTACAGATATCTTTATGTGTAATGACTGTTCTCTATAAACACTGTGTCCTATATAAACAATGTATTCTGTACAGATATGTTTATGTGTAATGACTGTTCTCTATATACACTGTCCTATATATACACTGTATTCTGTACAGATATCTTTATGCGTAATGACTGTTCTCTATAAACACCTTGTCGTATATAAACACTGTGTCCTATATAAACAATGTATTCTGTACAGATATCTTTATGTGTAATGACTGTTCTCTATAAACACTGTCCTATATAAACAATGTATTGTGTACAGATATCTTTATGTGTAATGACTGTTCTCTATAAACACTGTCCTATATATACACTGTAAAAAGATATCTTTATGCGTAATGACTGTTCTCTATATACACTGTCCTATATAAACAATGTATTCTGTACAGATATCATTATCTGTAATGACTGTTCTTTATAAACACTGTGTCCTATATAAACAATGTATTCTGTACAGATATCTTTATGTGTAATGACTGTTCTCTATAAACACTGTCCTATATATACACTGTATTCTGTACTGATATCATAATCACACATATTATGCCCTCTATTTACATTGTGTCCTATATAAACCTCTTTTTTAATCTATTCAGATATCATCAATATATCCAATGTGCCCTCTATATACACTGTATATATAAAGATATCACTGATGCATTTGTCATATAATGTGTTCACTAAACACTGTGCCCTTATATGCATTGCATGTGATATTAGTGTCATCTCTACCAGACAAATTTGTCTTCATTTCTATAAATAGTTGTCTTCATATGACACATATGCCCTATTCACATATTTGCTCTCTATATTTACATACATGTGTCCAATATATTTTTGCCTTCTACACAGGTGACCATGTACATATTTGCCATATAATACACATATGTGTGACATGACTTTTCTATGTTACTCTCAACACTATAAACACAGATGTTCTTTATACAGATATGTCCTCAGAGCTTAATACACATGTGTCATTACTAGATGTCATTAAACAGGACTTGTTAGTGTATATACAGATCAATATAAACCATAAACCTTTAGCAATTCCCAGGTATAACCAACATACTAAATACAGCTTATTTGTAATGTTCATAATTTCCTACATCATGTTATATTCCCATAAAGCAGTGCATATTTAACTACAACAGCCAAGCATAGTCAGCTTTACTTTTTAGGACATCTGTACAAATCATACAACAATTAAAGTTAAGCTATCAATGTCATTGCAGACGTTTACACATTTATTTTACCTTGAATACATAAAGTACATGAATATTATTTGAATATTCAATATACTTTGATAGGCACACTTGCAATAGCCATTTATATGGCTTTCACAAATTACCATCTCCTTTGCTATAAATAGATCATAATGATCACACAAAAATTTCATTGGAAAAGACAAGATAAAGAAATGGTTCTACAAGAAAATGCTTTCATTCTAATGAGACTGGCCATCTTTAACTAATTTCTTGTACATACAATTTATTTTTGCAGGATTTCAGTATTTACCTGGACCAAAGATATCTTTAGTGGTCAGTGCATGCTACCGAGGTGTCATCTACATCAACGTATTATATCACTTATAATTTTACAACACAATCCAACTACCTTAATCAATAAAATCGTTAATTAAACATAAGACAATGTCCACCTGTAATCTCACGTAAGTAACCTACAAAGAGTTATAAACTCACTTGATATATATATATATATATATATATAGATAAACATATATGATCCAATGATTGCCTATTATTTTTTACCTTGTTGATTCTGATTAGGAACGCCTGTTGAGTGTTGTAGGCAAACATCTTCTGTTGCGGGACGGATGACGGCATACCTGGTCAGATCAATGCCAGGTGTTACATACAGGTAGACATGCTACAAAGCCAGTGTATATAGACTCCATTATCTAGTTTCCAGTACTATAATGCACCGTCGTTGGTCAGCTGATCTGGTTGGAGCTGACAGATGCGTACCTCCCACCTCGGGAGTTAGAAGTTTTAAAGCTCCACATCATTACAGATGTATCTGTTAGACTGAGCAGGTTATTAATCAGTTGAAATAGATGTTACCAACAAAAAATCCCCCAACGTTTTCCACACTTCAACCATGAACCAAAGACTGCACCGGTGTACTGTTATAAGTACAATTAGGCCAAATGCATGGTATTTATGGGTTTTCAGTATTCAATCCTGAGCACTAGCTGTCCATCGTACCTGGGATATCTGTATGAACAACTTCACTTGTACACACATATGGCCATATATACAGCTGTTTTCAAGATAATCAAACATGAACACAGTCTGATATTTTGCTGGACAAAAAAATGCAGAAATGCTGTTATATAATGCAGACTTTGCACACCGTCTGATAAACTGGAATGTAAATTCCACAAAAAAGGTTTGAAATCCTGTAACATGAAGTACTAGAAATCCAATGATTCTACCTGATGATGAACAGACCATGTGGTTATGATATCCATATATTTTATGTCACACATTTTAAAACACAATGGATTGAGTCATATTGTCATCAACACACCTGTCCTTCAAACAATTTCCAATTTCATGAATAAGTGATTATACAGTGCACTTAAAATGGTGCATTGGTGAGGTCTGTCAAACTGTCAATATTCATCACTGTATCAAATATCTGCCCTTGTTTAATATAATTACACCTGCACTAAGACCAACCCCCTGTCAGTATTGATATAATTGCTGCAACAATTAGGCAAGCTTGGAGGCTGATATGGCGCCATTGATTTACAGCAGTAAATATTGACACAGACAAATCCCTGCAATCCATATGCAAAAAAATCCCTGTGTGCAGACAGTGTTAGAAACAAGACAATTAATATTAATATATGTAGGGTAAGTGTCAAGTACTTCCTTGTAAGTCATAGTTCAAAGATCAATGAACTTTGAAATTGACGAAAAACAAAGGAAAACTTGTTAGGAATTCCTTTGAGATTACACAAAAGAATGTGTAACAAGTTAAATCACATGTTTTTTTTTTCTTTTTTTTCCTTTTTCATTTGGTTTCTGTTTTCTCTATATGTTAAGCTTAAGGGAAAGCTGTGTTTATATTTCAGTTGATGTATCTCTGATTCTTAAATCAATACTTGAGTTAAGCTTCAACTATGAAATGCAGTGCCTTGCTTGTTAAAAATAAAATTGTTCATATAAGATATTACATTGCTCAATCACTCATGATCAGATTACTGATGAGAATTTTGTAAAACTCATGATGCTGGAATCACCTCGAGAATCTGATACTTCTTTGTTTTGTACAATATGTACAATCTTCTTTTAAGGCCTTAACTTGATCACTGCCTGTCATCCCTTTGGGAGCTTGATACAGATAACACAACAAGACTACACAGACACTTCTGACCAGCCAACACATGATTAAAAATAAAAAAAAACATAGCTAGGAATCAATGTCTGTCTACCAACTACCTATATAATCCGTACCACAGGGATAGAAATAAATACAGGGCATCCTTTTTAAAACATCTGGCCAAACAAGAGAGCTTCAAAGTGACCCTGCCAGTAGGGTTCACAAGACATTAATCATATAAAGGCTCCCAGACAACCAAATAAGTCACTCAGATTCACCTGATTATCCAATATCCTCTGACACCATGATCGCCTTTCAAAATTCCACCGCACAAAGGCCTACACACTTCGTGCCTCATTCCAGTTGGCAGGTTTTTTCCCCCCCTAAACATATTCCTTTTAAAATCTTTTGTAAAACTTACACACTATTAACCAAGCAGCTGAAGAATTAACACCAAGAAATTTAAAACTGTCTGATTACTGTTGAAAAGTTTTATTGGGGGTTATTAAACAACTTTTTTGTAATTAAAAAGCATGCGAATTCAGACAGCCCTTCTACAACAATCAGTGGAGTGTGAATTCCAAACTAATGGCACTTTGTGTTGAAATGAATGGATACCTAAGTTTTTATGTGTATAAACACACATTTTTATGTCATTAAAGTAAGGGTGTGTAAACATAGCCTGATAAATTAGACTCTACTATATAACCACTACATTTGTCACATACAAACATTTCAGATTCAGGTCTTAAATTCTGATGTAAAATTGATAAGAGGAGAAATCTTTTCATTTTTTCCATATGCCATCCTTTACACAGATAGCTATTAATTACACCAGCATTAGCTTTTTTATTCACTTAACTGGTTCAATTCAAGTGTACCCTAATATGAACAGACGTTGTTATTTAGAAAATTAGATATATATCCCAGAGTGGAAATTCTTCATTCAGATATAGTGTGACACCCTTAAGCTGGACAGATATATCCCAGTGTGTAGAATTTTTGTCCTAATCTAGGCAGAAACACCAAACCTGGACAGATATACCCCAGTGTGGAGAACTTTTGTCCCAATCTAGGCAGAAACACTAAACCTGGACAGATATATCCCAGTGTGATGAATTTTTGTCCCAATCTTGGCAGAAACACTAAACCTGGACAGATATACCGCAGTGTGATGAAGTTTTGTCCCAATCTTGGCAGAAACACTAAACCTGGACAGACATATCCCAGTGTGGGGATTCTTTGTCCTAATCTAGGCAGTAACACTAAACCTGGACAGATATACACCAGTGTGGGGATTCTTTGTCCCAATCTAGGCAGAAACACTAAACCAGGACAGATATACCCCAGTGTGATGAATTTTGTCCCAATCTAGGCAGAAACACCAAACCTGGACAGATATATCCCTGTGTGATGAAATTTTGTCCCAATCTAGACAGAAACACTAAACTTGGACAGATATATCCCAGTGTGGGGATTCTTTGTCCCAATCTAGGCAGAAACAACAAACCTGGACAGATATATCCCAGTGTGGGGATTCTTTGTCCCAATCTCGGCAGAAACACCAAACCTGGACAGATATATCCCAGTGTGTGGATTCTTTGTCCTAATCTAGACAGAAACACTAAACCTGGACATATATACCCCAGTGTGGGGATTCTTTGTCCCAATCTAGGCAGAAACACTAAACCTGGACAGATATATCCCTGTGTGGGGATTCTTTGTCCCAATCTAGGCAGAAACACTAAACCTGGACAGGTATATCCTAGTGTGGGGATTCTTTGTCCCAATCTAGGCAGAATCACCAAACCTGGACAGATATATCCCAGTGTGGGGATTCTTTGTCCCAATCTAGGCAGAAACACTAAACCTGGACAGATATATCCCAGTGTGGGGATTCTTTGTCCCAATCTAGGCAGAAACACTAAACCTGGACAGATATATCCCTGTGTGGGGATTCTTTGTCCCAATCTAGGCAGAAACACCAAACCTGGACAGATATATCCTAGTGTGGGGATTCTTTGTCCCAATCTAGGCAGAATCACCAAACCTGGACAGATATATCCCAGTGTGATGATTCTTTGTCCTAATCTAGGCAGAAACACTAAACATGGACAGATATATCCCAGTGTGGGGATTCTTTGTCCCAATCTAGGCAGAAACACTAAACCTGGACAGATATATCCCTGTGTGGGGATTCTTTGTCCCAATCTAGGCAGAAACACCAAACCTGGACAGATATACCCCAGTGTGGGGATTCTTTGTCCCAATCTAGGCAGAAACACTAAACCTGGACAGATATATCCCTGTGTGGGGATTCTTTGTCCCAATCTAGGCAGAAACACCAAACCTGGACAGATATACCCCAGTGTGGGGATTCTTTGTCCCAATCTAGGGTTACACAACTAATCTAGACAATCATATGCAAGTGTGGGTATTCTTCATCCAATGAAAGGGTTATACATTTAACATGGTCAGAAACATTCCAGTATGGGGATTCTTAGTCTCAGTCTAGATTGACAAACTTAACCTGGACACAGACATTCAAGTGTGGGGATTCTTTGTCTCGTCTAGATTGACAAACTTAACCTGGACACAGACATTCAAGTGTGGGGATTCTTTGTACCAATCTTGGTTGACATACTAACCTGGACAGTGACATTCTATTATGGGAATTCTTTGTCTCAATCTAGATTGACAAACTTAACATGGACAGTAACATTCTATTGTAGGAATTCTTTGTCTCAATCTAGGTTGACACAGTAAACCTGGACAAATATATTCATGTCCCCATGTAAGGATTGATACTTCACCCAATTTATGTAGACATATCCAAGTTTAAGGTGTTTGTGTTCTAATACAAAATGAAACACTCAACCACAACATATATATTTATGATAAACATGTCCATAAGTGTGGTGGCTCTTAGTCATGTTCTGAGAGGATATTTTTTATATAGAAATCAGAAAAGGGACATAACTCCCATAAAGTTTGCCATTGCTCCTTTTACTCCTATAAGCTGACTCTACATGTTGCAGGAACTTTTTGTTCAGCTTGATGATACCATGGTAGACAAAACCTTTAAACATTTGATTTCCTGGTCTAAAGGATCACACAATTTTGATAACCAATCTTCCCCTATTTGGCCTCACCTCTGCAGTGCCCCTAGAGGTCTTATTTTCAAATTTTCAAATTACGTCATAATAGTACCCCTCTGATTTCACTGAGGACCACATACTTTCCTTTTATAAAACATTGATTCTCTTTCAGATTATGCTCTAAATCAAATTTTGGTCAAATAAGCTTTTATCCATGATACAGATAGAAACAAGTTTTAAAAGTGTACCCAATTATTCTTTCAATTTGGTGAGCTGAAAACAGTCACAAATAAATCATGGCAGTTCCAATCAAATGTGTACAAAGTTTCATAAAACTGGTCATAAATTAAGTCAGAAATTTTAATATTTAATCATCTAGGATCTAATTGATTACTGAA